TTTCTGCGTACTCCGGAACCCGCTCGCCTCGACTGTGCAGTCCAACCCCTGGGGTTCCATCGACAGGATATAATCCCCGACCTCAGCATGCACACTGACATCCACGGGAATCATCCCGAACTCCTCGGCGATCTGCAAGCGCCTTGCGTCCTTGTCAACGGCATACACCCTCTTCGCCCCTCGAATTACCGCCAGCCGCTGCACCGATAGTCCCACCGGTCCACACCCCCAAACACCAACTATATCCCCCAGCTGGACATCCGCCAGCTCGCACCCATGCCACGCAGCGGTCGTGACATGCGCCAGACCGAGCAGCTTCTTCGCGTCCATGCCAGCCGGCGCTCGCACACAGCAGAGATCCGCGTTCGGGACCCGCACGTACTCGGCCTGCGCACCGGGGTACCCGCCGTACAACCGCGTGAACCCCAGCATCCCCGCCACGCGGTGTCCGTACGCGCTCTCCATCTCCCGCGAGGGATTCGTCGTGTCGCATAGCGAGAACTCCCGCCGCTTGCAGAACTCGCAGTGTCCGCAGGCGATCACGGGGAGGATCATGACTCTGTCCCCCGGAGAGATGGTGCGGACCTCCGCGCCGACTTCCTCGACCGTGCCGATCGCCTCGTGGCCGAGGATGTCGCCTTTGGAGAGCAAGTCGCTGAGTTCGCCGTCGTAGAGGTGGAGGTCGGCGCCGCCGATTGTGCAGTGCGTGATGTGGATTATGGCGTCCGAGGGGTCCGTGATGGTCGGTTTGGCGACGGTGCCGAGCTGGATTGTGCGCGTGCCCATCCACTGGGCGGCTTTCATTCTGTCAGTGGGATGCGGCTTGTAGAGCGTGCTTGTCATCGGTCTGTAGTTGTACACTTAGTAAGAGTTCCGAGGCGCATGGGGGTGGGTTACTTCGGAGTTGCGCTCGTCATTTTGTTGCACTTCAATTGCCGGATCGTAGAGAGTCTATGTATACACCATGCACTTGTTTGATATAATCTGTGACAATGGCCATGGAGTCTGAAGATACCATATTGCTTGAGATGGCGACATCGTGGCAATCTGCGAGGATTGGAGAGTGTCGGAATGGAGAGCCGACATATGAAGTCATACAAAACGCCGCTTCGTCTTTTTTTGGCGGCGTTATTGATATTTTGATAGAGGTGCTGCAAGATGAGAATAGTAGCATGCTTACGATGGCCATTATTAATATTACGAGTTGGAAAACTGAGTTGGAAGTGGAACACAGTTTGAATACCGTTGGCATTAGATCACCTACAATCGAGGAGCTCTACCCATTCCTGTCAACATCAATTGACTCATGAATAGAAGCACATGAGAAGAATACCTGACTACAGCCCCTTCAACCTCCAAGTCCCACCATGCAACCCAGTAGCAACTCCATCGACAAGCTTCACCCTCGTCCCGTTGCTCGAGACCAGCACCCCGTCCGCCTCAAGCCTCACATCACCCATAGTTCCCTCCGGCGTCTCAAATACCAATTTCGTATATCCATTCTTCCCCCTCTTGAACTCCGTCGAGAACATCCCCAAAGAAGTCCTAAACTCCGCCTCAACACCCCTCAGATCCCCAGGCTGCGGCGCAAACACCCACCTCGCCCCCGCCGCCCCAACAACCCGTAACCCAGCCGCATAAAACATCAGCGCAGAAGTCGGCCCTGTCGCCCAGCCATGCGCATGCGAGATCCGCGCATCGTTGCTATACGGCGCGTAATGCAACGACCCGTCTGTACTGTACCCCTCTATAAACGTCGACTGCGTCATGCGCGGATCATCAAGCATGAATCCCCACTGGCGCCGGATCAGATCCAGAGCCCGCTGCGGCTGGTCAGCGAGGAAGTGAGCTTGTAGCTCGAAGCCGGTGATGAAGGGGGAGACAGTGGCTCCGGCTTCCGGGGCTGGTGCGCCGTAGGGCCCCCAGCGGGCGGACAGGGCGGTGGAAATCGTGGATGATTGATTAGCTGACAGGGGGAGGTTGGCTTTTAGGGCCCAGGCGTTGCCGTCTTGCGGGTGGAGGGTTGTCGTCTCGTTGTCGCTGTAGAGGCCTGCGGCCGGGTCCCAGAGTTTTGCGTTGGCGGCGGATTTAAGGGTAGTTGCGATGCGGGACCAGGCTGAGGAGGAGGCGGTGTCGTTGAGGGTATTTGCGAGGAGCAGAGATTCCTGGAGGACGAAGTAGAGGATGGCGTTTGCTTCGATGTTCTGCTTTGTGTTAGTGTTGAAGGATTCTGTCTACGCGTGGGGATAAACGTACGTGACCTCCCATGCCGAACCGCAGCCAGTCTGCGCTCGCGGTTACGTTGGCTAGGCCGGTGCTGTCGATGCTGGACAGTGACCATTGCAAGGCCCGTTTGTACTGGCTCCAGTGTGCGGCAAGCCAGTTCAGGTCTCCGGAGTAGCGGTAAAGGTATGACACGCCAACCAAGCTGTGGAGATGGTAGGTATAGCTGACAATATCATAGAAGGGTTTGCCGGCGTAAGGAAGACGGCCATCTGCGTGCTGCATTGCAAAGAGTGATTCCAACGCCATGCGCACACTGTACAAGTCATACGTGCTGACAGCGATGCTCTCCAGCGCTATGGACATATCACCTGGCCAGACAAGGCGATCCCGTTTTGCTCCGTCCGTGAGCACGCTGCTCCCGTTGGCGATGGTATCGTTACTCCACCAGGGGACAGTCTCCGGGAGGCTGATATTGCCACTGGAGGTAATCGTGCCTAACAAGGGCAACGCATTCCCCATGCTGGGATCAATGGTGCACAGCTGGTTGGTGTATGCGCCTGCGTACCAGATACGATTGAGCAATTCATCATCGCAGTGGAAGTAGCCCGTATACGCGCGAAGATTCTGGGTCGGAGCCGCCGTGAAGTTGACTCGGACACTTTCAACAGCAATAGTCGCTGATGTGTTGGCGACGAGGGTCAAATATCTGAAGGCACCGCGGTTGTGTTTCTTCTCGGCCGTGTATCGCCCCGAGCCATGGCCGACAGGAAACCACAGGGGTGAGTCAAGACCTGCATCGGCAGTTGCGTCACAAGCTTCACCGTTGATCCAGAGGCTAGATTCAGAGAACGTGACTCCGATGAAGGCATCCTGCGAGGAGGCCTGGCTGATGTCCAGCGAGACAATGCCGGCGATGTTGCGCCCAAAGTCATAAGTGACGGATGAGACACCATGAAACGTTGCTTTCCCACCTTTCGCGTTGGTTAGAGCAGAGGGGTTAGAAATGGAGCCGTTAACGTGATACACCCTTTTCGGAATTAGATCTCGAGTGGCTGGTGCTAGGATATACTCCTCATATGGAAGGGCAGTGCAGACTGCTGCTGCAAGAACTGAAAAAGATAGAATTCGCATCTCTACGACTGACTATTATTATGAAGCAGGCCTAAGTCCACCTAATGCGGAAGCGGCAAGCACAGTTATATTCCTCGTCCAACTCTCCGTTCTATACACCAGATGCCGATTCCTCAGCCGAGTATGACGTTTTTGCAAGGATTCGGACAAATGCCCACCGAGCACAAGGGACATCCCTAGTCTCTTGCAAGAATGCTCTCGGCGGATCGTCATTCCGGACTTCCTGTCTGCCTCCATCCCCCAGAAAACAAGCTTGGTCGAGGTGGGATCGGCATCTGCGGAGAAGTCCAGAGCCGATCGAAGGAGACGCTGCGCTATGAACATGTCCAGTCCATAATTGCCCAAAGAGGGGTATGTGTTGATCGATTGAGCTTTATTAGCCCGAGATGTATGATCTACCATCTCCGGAAGGCTGCTTGATAACTATGGAGTTTGTTCTTTGGTGTGGGGTTGAACGCGGGGTTGCCGAAGTTCTCCCGTAATAAAGTTGTGGGGTAGTCGGCAATGCCAATAATGTTCAGGTCTTAATCCTACCTTGTAATCGACGGTACTATTTCTCTACACATTCAAGATTAGCCCTTGGGTAAATTATTTTCCTCGGGACATTTTGTAGCCGCCATCCTGCCCATACTAGTTCAGGCTGTTCCTCATCCATGCCCATGCCCATAGTAATCTCGTCTGTAGTTACCACAGCTACCATGGTTACCTTCATATCTCCCCGTAATCATGGCAACCTAGTTCTCAACTCTATGGAGTAGCTTCCTAACGTTTACTCGGACTGCTAACTACATGCAAGATAATTACAACGAAAGTAAGCTCTAACTCCGGGATGATTTGTGTTGGTGGTAAGCTGACGGCCCTCCGCTCAACCTTAAGTCAATCTAAGATCCCCCGATAAAGGTACTGATTCAAAACAATGACCGACAACTGCTATCTTGACACTGCTCAAGCTCATTGCCAATTCGATGATGCGTTTAAACCCGAAAATGAACGGTTCTGGCACAAGTTACGCCAACGGTTTAGTCGATTTCGAGATAAATCTCGTGATAAGTCTCAAGATTCATCGAAGCACATCTTCGATACCGAAGAGCGGCATTGACTGGAATAGCCGTACTTGGGACGGGCAACAGAATCCGTTGATGGCTTGCTGAGCAGCTTGGTGATCAAGACATGTGTCGCCTTCGGATCGATGTTGGTAGCATGGATCCACCCTCTTCGTGACGGCCCTGGTACATTACAAGCCAACTAATCCGGTAGCATATATTCATATAAATCATCATGTTAATAGTGATAGCTATATCAATTTCTCATCCTGAGTGGGAAACTCCCTCGACTGCTGCTATAGCCATCCAATGGCCTCAGCTGTTTCCTGCATCTGCACAGGGATCTTTTTGGCATATTTGTCCATCAGGTTAACCTCAAGTATGGAGAGAACCTTTTCGTACTCCTCATCTGCACCCCCGCCATTAACAATACAGGTGAATGTGTTGATCCCAAACATAGGCACAAATCGCACGTGTGTTCTCACATTTATCTTATCACTTTCCTAGTTCATTCAAGTTCGATAACCGTCTTTAGGTTAGTGAGTTCCTGGACGAGGAGGACGTGGTGCACATCGGCCAAGGCTATCCAGCGTAATGGATCTAAGCGGGAACAAGATCCATGAAACCAAGGGTTCTGGTAGCATAATCACGTAATTTCTCGACATTGAAGTAAAGCATATCGTTGCCATTACGGCCTGGCACCAGCGCTGGCCCAAAAAGGTCCCGTCTTCTGATCCAGAGGTCGTTGCGAGTTGCAGGACGCGGGAATATAGTCTGCACAACAGGTAATAAGCATGTGAAAGAAACATAATAATATACCTAGAATATACCTCACTCTGTTGTAGGGTGGGCATGCCATTACTGTCCCTGACAAAGAGCTCAACAGTCCCCGAGACGCGAGCTCCTTGTAGCCTTGTCCATTGGACAATAATAACAACATTAGTAGAGCCATTACCACCCACTAGCAATAGCCCCATGCCCTTATGAAGTTGTTCCTTTGACTCACTCCAGCCAGACTCTACCGCAAGAGTCGGTAGGTAATCATGCTCAGCTCGGAAGAAGAAGTCCGGTTCCTTCCAGGAGCCGCTATATGGGCCAGATCTAAAGTAAAGGGCTATATATGTTAGCTTAGAGTCCCTATTTAGGTCATAAGATAACTTGACAGTTATCAAACCACTCAGCTAAAAAGGCGACCAGACAACCATCTCCATCTAGTAGGGATGATAGCAGTAGGGTCAGCACAGCAGGGATACAACAAACTTACTTGTGCCGACACTTCCATAAAACAGCTCCTCTTCTTCTAGTGTGATGTCGCCATTCAAAAGCCAGCCAAGCGGTAGTTTAAACAACCACGGCTGGATGCAGTTGGTTATCTCGGTGTGCTTGACTTTAATCTGCAGCTCACGGCTCTTACTGTTGTAGCTTTTTCTGGATGTTTTCTGGATGAGTAGGACAAGGTTAGACGCAGAAGGCCTTGACTTACCGAGAGGGAATCTTCTCATCAGTAAGCTGATACACAGCGTCCGCCCACGAGGGAGGCACGCCGGTAAATATAAACTCATGATACTCCCTGCTTTGACGCAGCGAGGAGACGACGTGATGTGTAAAATCAGCCTGCTTATCAAACTGATTTGCCGAAGTTACAGTCATGATTGAGCTTGACTGAGGAGTAGGGGTAGAAAATGGAACATCTGGCATGATAAAGAGAGGGTGGATGGGAAGATGCCAGCCCAAAAGTGTCTAGACAACGATTGCTAGCACTGAACAGCTTCAACAGAAGGGCTCTATTGAGATTTAAGAAGCAGATGCTGAAATGAGAAGGTCAACTCTCTCCAGCTAAAGAAACCCAGACACTGACTGGCCTCTGAGAGTATAAGTGGGAAGTGAAAAACTGCCATCGACTTGTCATAATGAGGTATTACCTATAGAAGTAAGCATTCAACGCGTTTAATCCTTATCTTCTCAACCTGCTACTCCCATGATGTACGACTGCTACCCGCCGCTTAGACTCTTATATCCTTGGATTTTAATGGCTTTAATAGGGTACGCGGGGACTATGGCCGGGGCTTTCGAATGGACATTTTACACTGGAGGCAATGTACGTGGTGGGGAGACTATGGAATGCGGCATATGGGACTTCACTGATAGCTGGCACGCTTAGTTATCCTTCTTAACTTATGAAACTGGGGAGATGGGCATATTTAACTCTAGTATATAATTGCAAGCATTTGTGAGCCTGTTTGTAAATAACGTAGCTGCGGCATGGCCCTGCGCAGATATTGGAAATTCCAGTTCTGTTAGCTGGGTGGATATAGCGAGGCGTGGATGGCAGCGTCGCTGATGATAGCTGGTATTTTGCACTACAGATCTGACACTCAAACCAGTCCATGCCACAACCCGAATTTCTCATTTACAAGCTGTGATACATGGACTATTCTCCTTCTCCACTATCATCACTGCTATATCTCCAGCCAGTCGATCCGCTCGTGAGCCGCGCCACACCTCCTTTATAGGCTGTCCTCCCATCTTCTCATAGCCTTCCTTCACCGCTTCAGCAATTGCTGTGCCGCCCACTGAGCTGGCAACCACAGTGCTTTTCACATCCGCAAAGTCTAACTGTGGTAGTGACGCCCAGAATCGCGTTCGTATTGCTTCCACCACTAGCAGCAGCAATGCTGTCGCGTTGATTGCTGTGATCAGATAAATATAAAACGGCTGTCCAATTCGATACGCCACCACCTGAGTGATAACGTCTCTGACCTCATATTCTTGTGCAATCACTAGCTGGGCACTTGATGCGCCTACATAGGCTGCGTCCCAGAGGACCTCAGCGGTATCCTGTACCGCTTGTAAAGGGTTCACCGCGCCCTTGCCGCCTGCAGCATAGTACGTGCGGTTAATGTTGCGGATAAACATGTCTCCAATAAGAGAAGTGTAAGACGTCGTGCCAATCATGGAGAGGGAGGCTGCCGTGTCGGCGCCGCTCCAGACTATGTACTCCGGGGCAGGCGTGAACTCATCAACCTTGGCCAGCGTCTCCTGGGGCTTAACGGTGATTAGGCGCTCAGTAAGATCAACGTGCACAGTAAACAACGTTGGCGAATAAGTGGCGTTGCAGAAAGTCGCATTCAGGACGCTGTACTTAGAGGAAGCACCCATGTAGAACGCCCAGTTATGCGTATTTGCTGCAGCAATGGCGAGCGTGATTCCCTGTTGGCTTGCCACGTAGAAACCATCATTACCAGGAAGATGTACATAGTAGACTGGAACAGGGGAGGAAGTAGTCAGCTCGAGCTGCATGGCGAAGTTGGTGTCATAGTCGCAAGTGTACTGTGTTAGATATCCAGTATCGTTATAGGTGTAGCTTCGGATGTACGGGTCTAACGTGAACGAATCATTCAAACCAACCGTAGCACCCATACCATACGACCGCCCGTAATACGTGAAGTTAGTGTTGTCACTCTTGGGGAAACGCTGCGGAGATTCAGTCGTATTGGTAGCAGTTGAGCCATCATTGATGAAGTAACTAAAACGATCTGAATGATACGCGTATGAGAAGACACCTAATTCACTGTAGACTCTTGGACCGCCTTGTATCTGATAGGTGTACCAATTGTTATTGTTCCAGAGATTTGAGGTTGCATTCGTCCAACGTGCAGTAGGGATCGAGAGCGGTGTCTGGCCGGTCAAGACAGTGAGGATGGGGGTGATAGCGCCGGCCCAGACGGCAGCTGGAACCAGAGCAGCCAAAGCAGTTAAGAGTAGGACTGGCAGCCTGATGCCTCCCAAGGACCAATTAATTTGGGATGTTGTCACGGAGCTGAAGAAAGCCACAGTATCAAGAAGCATCGGCCTTCGGGTCAGCCAATTGCGCGCCCAAAAGTTAGCCATAGACCTCACGGTCGCCACTAGAGCCAACCCCAAAAGACTAGCCAGAGTCTGAACGATTAATTGCGTTGTGGCTCGGTTGGCTGAGATCCAGTCATACTGTTTGCCCTTGAATGTCCAACCGTCAACCGGGCCGGTGATGAGGAGAAGGCTGATGCCATTGCAAAGAAGCAAAGGTGGAAAGAGTAGCAGCTTCCTGAAGCATGATTCCAGATTCGCATCTAGCAAGCGACTGCCTTCAGCTTCTTGAGGAGTCGAGTTTAAATTTTCTTCTTGGGCAATTGTCTTGTATGTTGACATTTCCTCCAACTTGTTTGCCTGGATTATCTGTCATGAGAACTAGGAAACTAGACACAGAAACGGCGTACTATATATACACTGAAGAGGGGCTGGTGCCTAATAGTCAAGATACCGAGATAGGCGCTATTAGCGGGGTAGACAACACACCAATAGTAGTGCCGACACTTCCATAAAACAGCTCCTCTTCTTCTTATAGTGTGATGTCGCCATCCAAAAGCCGGGGGGGGAGAGGGGACACCTGACCTGATGGCAGGTGTTACTATGAATCCAGACAGGCCCGAGGGCTATCATATACGAGCTATATATCTTGATGTGACATCCCTTCCTTGCCCTTAAATATTTTACTTTCCTTTGTTCGCACTGCCTGGTTATTAAAGATTTTGGCTACTTTTACAAGGTGGTTTAGTATATCTAAGTTTAGTAGGACGTCAGCTTATAGAAAAGACTCCCCCGGCATGCCCCTAGAGAGGGCCGCTGTATGGGTATGAATACTACTACTCCTCCTCCTCCTACTAACCGCCGCTCAACCAGTAAAAATAGCGGGAATCTCAAAAACCACTACTGCAGTTCTTCGTATTAACAATTCCGAGAGGCGTTAGAAGCCTAATTCCATCTATCGGCGAGAGCTCCTCCTGGAAGAAATGCCTGTACCGCAGCATTCCCTCTGTGGTATAGCCGTAGGTACGAGCAAATAGAAGGGCATTCCACTCTAGCTCTAAGTCCAATCCACCATATACTGCGACCTGCTTTGCGGTACCATAGATACAGCAGCAGGAGAGCTATGGGGTCCCTTTTCCGGAGCAAGTCTTCGAAAGGGCCATGGATACTGCGCGCGAAGAGTTGAGTTTGGCCTGTTGTGACCTCGCTATCCGGGAGGTCCAGGATTTGGGACACTCCGTGGGCGGCATGAAAATACGGGTTGTTTCTCGCAGTAGATGCGTCGTCGAGAAGACACAGGGCAGCCAAGGCCCGTGGTATACCATCTATGCCCTTCTCTGGCAAGGGCGAATGCATAATAGCAAAGGTCCCCGCCATGACGCTGAAAAGACTGTCCGGTCGTAGCGGGTTCACTATGTGCCACAGTGCCATTTTACCCTTGCTCATACGTAACCAGTCCAAATCGGAGTAGCCAGAGGACTTTAACGGCCACGATTCTTCCGGCGTGCATGCATCAGGGGACGAGAAAGTCAGGATAGCCAGAGCAGCCGCAGTGGCCCAGATTGGATCCTTATCTTTCGCTTCAATCGGTTCCCTTAACCGCCTGTTGAGAAGAGCTGTGCTTTGCGACCAGTGGTAGCACTCTTCTAGACTGCGACGACAGCCTAATGAGCTATTCAGATGGCGGTCATATGTAAATGCCACAGCTAGAGAGGCGTGCATTAAAAAAGGGTACTGTAAGGCGTATGTTAGCCGGGCAGAGGCCATAATGCATGATCCCGCTTGGATTCTGTCTGACGGTGACAGGATCAATCAAATTATACTTACGGCGAAGGCTAGTCGCAGGAGCCTGCGATTGATGTGTATCATATTAGGGTCATCTGGGGTAATGAGACTTCGTCCAAGATATCGGGTGATGAAATCTTGACACTTTGCGTTCAATTGATAGGATATGGATTCGTCAGCTGTCCAGACAGCACTGGCGACAGGGGCTTGAAGCTCTGCTTTTCCTCGAACCACCAAAGGCCTCCCTGTGTCAGCGGCGACGGGCTGTAGGTCTGGAATATTAAGCATGAAGTTGCATAATACCCCGAATGAACTACATCTCTTGCAATGTGGTTTGGTCTCGTCGCACTAGATCCGTTCAGCCAAGCACCAGTCTAAGAAGGCCGAGAGCCACGCACCTTGAGTTTCCGGAGCTTGCAATTTCGGCAGCCAAATCTGGACCGCCGCAGAGTCCTACGCTCCCGAGCCTCTCTTGGACGAGTCGAGGCCATACTTGGTTAATTGTCAATACTTTGCGCAGCTTGCCTGTAAAAGATGAGGTGGAGGAGTGGCCATGGTCACCCAAGGAGTCCAAGGACACTAGTGACCTTAGTTCCACATCGTCACAAGCACCTCAGTATATGCTTAGTTGCTAACCTCCTTTCGGAAACACACCGTCCACGCTAGCTATTCCTCGGATGCGGAGGTCTCTGATTGGCTGCGAGCTCTGCCCTGACTATATCACTACATAAAAGTGTAAGTAGTTGAATGATAGCGGAATTGTATAAATAGAAGGTCATTCCTCACTATCCTAGGAACAGAGGCTGATGTCTATAGCATCAGAACCATAATTTACAAAGCCCAAATGGCCACCCACCTCGCCGCCGTCTCCCCGGCGAAAGGCCAACCCTTTGAGGTCCAAACCCGGCCCACCCCAAAGCCAGGACCAGACGAGCTCCTCATCGCTGTCAAATCCGTAGCTCTCAACCCGGCAGACGCCTACATGCGTGACCAAGGGCTCTTCATACCGGCGTACCCCACGGTCATTGGCTTCGACATGTCGGGCTTAGTCCTCGAGGTCGGCGACAACGTCCCAACCGGCGCCACAGATAATGATCAAGGCCCCTCCTTCCGCCCGGGTATCACCCGCGTCGCCGCCTACGCCGCCTCTTACTGGAAGTCCTGCGACCCAGACTACGGCGCTTTCCAGGAGCGGTGCCTCGTTCCCTGGCAGCATGCTGTGCCCCTTCCGGACGAGGGCCTGGCTTGGAACGACGCGGCAACCTTGCCCGTCGCCGTTGAGGTACCCCTTAACGCGTGGGATGCCATGGGGATCCCCCCCGCGGGAGCGGGAGAAGCCACTGCTTCTGCTCCTGTCCCTGCTGGCTCCACCGGTACCGATACCGACACCAACGGAGGGAAGCAAAAGCATATTAATAACAAGGAGAAAAGAGAAGCTCTTCTAATCTGGGGTGCCTCTTCTAGCGTCGGCACCATGGGCGTACAAACAGCCCGGCTGCTGCGGGACGATCCCAACTCTTCTTTCGCGGCCGTGTACGCCACGGCTGGATCGGCGAATATGCGTTATGTGCGTTCACTGGGCGCGGACCGCGTGTTCGACTACAAAGACTCACAGGTTGTGGATACAATCTTTTCGGCGGCCAAGGAGGACGGGTTAGTGATCCGGCACTGTTTTCTTGCTACTGGACAGCTGGCGCCATGTCAGGCTGTGCTCAAGGCATTCCTCGGAGAAGACCCAGAAGGGAAGACGGCGAGGATCGGGTCGGCACCCGTGGTTCCGCCGGATGCGGAGGTCGTGAACGGGATAGAGACGATATTTGTGGTGCCGTCGACGGTGGAAGGGGAGAGGCTGGAGCAGTTCCGATACTGGATTGGGACGTGGCTTAGGGAGAACCTCGCCAAGGGAAGCATCAGGCCGAGTCCGGAGCCGAGCGTTGTGGGAAAGGGTCTGGGAGCTATCAATGCTGGGTTGGACAAACTGCTGCGGGGGGTGAGTTGTACAAAGTTGATTGTTGAGCTTGCGGAGTGAGAGCGTTCGGGGTGTTGACAAGGGTATAGAAAGAATTGGCATAGAAGATAAGATGATGCATAGAAGTAGGACGCTAACTAAAGAACAATTATACTTATTCACTATTGCCCGCATCAGCCACTTACGTATCTGGACACCTGTGTACTTGGTGAATTAGTAGCTAGTATATTGCTATTGCCTGCCTGCTAACCAGTATGTTACGACCGTCATAGCTTATATATTTTCCTCTTCCCTCGGACCTGATTTGTGGCTTCTAATCGGTATAGGAGGGGGAGTCCCAGACACACGCGACAACATTTAATCAGGGGATGTAGTGGCCAGTAAGCCAGTTAGAAAGAATAGAGGGGCGATGGATATCGTTATGGAGGGAAAATGAGACGTTGGAGGTGGACCCATTGATGGAATGGACCTGAAAATATCCGCCTTGATGATTATTGACACGAACATGAAGCAGAAGGTGAGCTAGAAGTAGGCATACAAACGAGTCAGGTGCCTTGACAATGATTTCTAGCATAGTATGAATAATAGTGCAGAATATGTTCAACCAAAGGGCCCTACTGAGGTTGGAGAAAGTTTAGGTTGTTGGGACGGGAGCAGTCAACCCTCTTCAGCTAAAAAGCCTCAGACACCAACCCATGCTGTCCTATTGGTAGATTTGTCATAATGATGTATCTTATAGAGCATGTGGATGATCTACAGATCTAAACTACATAACTTGGAATCGATCATCTTCTTCATGGTCCGGCCATGGCCTGTGGAGACCCCGTAAGGCTGGTAGAATAGTTCTGGTGAAGAGTTGATGTTGATCACCCCCACATATTACACCATCCCTCCGCGCAGTCCTTGCCAGGACAAGTTGATGATTGAGCCATACCTGTACTGCATCATGACACATAAACACATCAGAGATGTACCTGGGGCCTGTCTTCATATAATTGTTCCCATACTTGACCCCTCCTGATTCCGTGATTGACCCTTCTGTATGCTTGCTCTCTGTCCTTAAGCCCGACACGTCTAATGCAAGTATATCTCCAGTATCGGCGGATCAGAAACGACGTCAGGAGTTCGCTGAAAAGCGGACCGGTAGGTACCATGCAATTCATTGGAAACATTAGTAGAGAAAAGCTGATTCCCTAGACAAAACATTCAGATGCTAGTGGGAGTGCTGAAGAAGGACGACACTCCTCAGATCCCGAATTCGTTGACGATGTCGTCTCAAAGGTCTACTCCTCTGACGACATCGGCGCAATAGATGCACATTGCTGGAATGCGGCATCCAAATGGATATCCACTGTGATCATTTCGTCCATTGCGGCGTTGGTTTCCTTTGCAGGAGCTATTGATTCCGAGGCATCCTCAAATATCTCATCCGAGTTCGGAATCAGCGAAGAGGCAGAGACATTGGCAACTGGTAGGTCTCTACTGCGCAATATCATACAGAACTAATACCCGTATAGCCATGTTTCTCTTCGGGTTTGCTTTTGGAGCCCTTGTGACCGGTCCCGTATCCGAGACTTTTGGCCGCAACGCGGTCTACGTGACGTCCCTGGTTATTTTCATCATCTGCGCCGTGATCACAGGTTGCTCCCACAGCCTTGCCCTACAAAGCATTTTCCGCTTCTTCGTCGGATTCTCTGGCTCCAGTCCATTGGTGTGCGCTGGGGGTTCACTGTCCGACCTATGGACCACGACCCAGCAGGTCTATGTTTTCCCCGTATTCTCTATTATATCGTTCGTGGGCTCCGCTACGGGACCATTGGTTGGAGGATACATTGCCGAAAGCGGAATATCCTGGAGATGGGTTGACTGGGTGACTGCTCTCGTCGCAGGGTTCTTCCTCGCGACGGTCGTCTTATTCTTGCCGGAGACATTCCGACCAGTTCTCGTACAGCTCAAAGCGAGGGAGATACAGCGTGCCACCGGAACCGACAAGCACAAAGCGTCGACTGAGAAGGAACGCAAAACCTCGCTGGCTATGCAGATCCTCTTCGGCATCTGGCGACCCTTCTACCTCACCGTCTACGAGCCCATCGTCGTCGTTTGCGCGCTCTACCTGTCCATCATCTATGTCATCCTCTTTACGTGGCTAAACGGCTTCAATTATATATTCGCAGACACGTACTCCTTCACAAAGGGACAGGTGGGACTCTGCTTCCTCGCCATGTTCGTCGGCAACTGCTGCACCATACCCTTGATCCCGCTCATCTACAAACTCTACACAAAAGCCCTCCACAAGGCTCAACAACGCCACGAGTCTTCCAAGGACGAAGCCGACTCCAATCCCCGATCCACCAAACCCCCACCAGAAATTCATCTCTACTATGCCATGTTCGGCGCCCCCACTATTCCCCTATCTCTCTTCTGGATGGCGTACACCGCGACCCCGCATATCTCGCCCTGGGTACCCATTGTCGGATCCCTCCCATTCGGCTTCGGCTTCACCACCGTGTTTGTCTCCTGCTATCAGTACCTTACAGACTGCTATGGTATCTGGTCCGCTTCCGCGCTGTCGAGTGTGAATTTCGTGCGGTGTCTGTCCGCCGGCGGGATGATGCTGGCTTCGATGCCGCTGTATGAGAATCTGGGGGTGAAGTGGTCGTTGACCTTGCTGGGGGCTGCGTCTGCGGTGCTGGTGCCGGTGCCGTTCGCGTTTTGTAAATGGGGGGATCTGATTCGGAGGAAGAGTAAGAATGCGTTGGCTTAGTATAGATCACGGCGTTGTGGTTTAGATTCAACCTTGTTGTGTGACATTTGCGTATCTGCTCTGTAACGTGTGTTTGCAGCGGGAATATATGTGAGCCCGCAGTGTTCAATATCTACCTAAGGGTAGAGCCTTTGTGCACCTTACATAGAGGAACATGATTTTTATGATTGCTCCCTAACCAAGGAGTGGCTAGTACTTCTTGAAGATTTCCGACAAGTCGTTGTAATTAAGCGATTCAAAATTTGCAGACATAGCTCCTCTAGCCGTCCGCGATTCCGGCTATGTCTAAATGCGGAACTTAGAAAGGTCCCTATTTACGTCCCTTGACCTTGTCTCCAGCCACGCCGATCAAATTTCCATATTTCAGCGTGTCAATGGTTGCGGTGTACTGCTTCGACGAAGGCGATGTCGTGAGAATCATCGCCGAAAACCCGTCGTCTCCTTCGCCTGTCAGGAAATGCTCACGCAGGACCATGGTCAGCGGCGACGATCGAAAAGGGATACGAGTCTGCTTCTGGGCCATCGCCCGAATGACTTCCTTCAAGGAAAGAAGATCGGTATTGATCTGCCTCCCTTCCTGCTGCTCCTGGGGCGTCTGCTTCGCCCGAATCGCCGAAACAGAGCCCTTGTCGTGGTAGTACTCTGAGCCAGCCAGGTCCACAAAGACTAGTTTTCCACCCAGACAAGCATGGGGACAAGAGCGTTTGACTGCCTCCACATGTTCCTCAGCTTTCTGGACATACGACTCGAATTCCGCCTTCTTCGCCTCGGCCTTATCAATCGCCGCCTGGTTGATCTGGTAGTCCGGATTCGGGGCAAACTTGCCATCCGGCGTCCGGATAAACGCCTTGAGATTCTCCTCCAGGTAGATATCCGACGCGCGTTTCCCGACAGGGACAAGCTCCGACTGCCGCTCCACAACCGCGTCCCTCGCGTCCAGGAGCTCCCGCGTGACAATCTCGACCTCGAAAACAGCATGCGTCCGGGAACTCTGATCGTGCACCGTCGACGTCCCCGTCGCCCTGCGCCCAATCCCCGCCAGCAGCTGGGCGTGGAACTCGTCAAAGGTCGAACAGGCCTTTGTGACGATTGGTCGCACGCGGACTTTTCCGTCGGCGAACGTTTCCGTCTCGCCGCGGATGTGCGTTTTGCCGTCCTGGCCTTCGCGGATGTGGCATTTGCATCTGTCGTTTAGGAGGTCAAAGGCGGTGTTTTTCCTGAGCTCGTACATGCGCAGTCCGAGAAGGAATCTCTCGTTCTCATTAGTGCCTACATTCAGCTGGTCGAGCTGCCCGTAGAGCGCTCGTGCGGCCGATAGGCACAGCCCGAACTCGTCGGGATGCTCGAAATCATACCCGATGATGGTGTGCGACTTGCCGCTCCCTGAGTGTCCGTAGGCGAAGAAGTTGCAGGATTGCCCGTTCAGGACCCGGGGCAGGGTCGGTGCTACCACGGTCTCGAAGACGACTTTGTTGTTGTCATTTGCGGTGAAGATGTGGGTAAAAGCCGGGTCGCTTTTCCAGGGGCGGGCCAGTTTGTGCGATGGCGGTGGGGTGAGTGAGAGCGCGGAGGTGTTGTTGGTGGGATGCGCGTGCTGTGTTCGCGCAATTTCTGGGGTGTTGGCCTCGGATGGCGACAGAGGGCGCCAGCGGATGAACACGTTTATTGATGGCATGACTTCTGATCCAATTGTTTGGCTATTGATCTCAATTGAAACGGAGTACGCTGTATTTGAGTCCAAGATTAAGAAACAGCCCCCAAACTAGGCAGCAGGCACCAGCGCCATGTCTCGGGCAGGTAGTAATGACCGCCAATGTACCTTGACCATCTCTGATTTTGGTGGATCTCCATACTGACGTTAGCGACTACCGAGTCATGCTAATTGTCTGATATGTTTCAGCGAATGAGGAATGTCAGCCTTGAAATACCTTTTATGGTTATACCGTCGTGGCCGCTTGGACACTGTTGGTGCCTAAGGCAACGAACATACACCAACTGGTCCATGCCTCAGGCATCACTTTTGCCATCGCCGATGTTGTGTTCGAGCAAACCAGCATTGGTATCCAACTGGCCCCAGCTCAGAAGCGATGATAAATGACTATCTCTTACTTCAAGAGCTAAATGATGATCGGTATGTCAGACTCCTATTCTCCGACCTCCTTGACCAATCGTCCACTCCATTAATTGCGTAGCCCAGCCCTAACTCCGTTATTTCCGCCGGTCTTTACCAGGAGAACGAGCAATAGCAGACCAACAGCTATTGTGCGGACCAAGTCAGACAACTTCTTGAAGCTATCGGTTTCGATATTCTTCCGTCGGCTTAATATTCTCCCTTCTCGATTATCTCCGCGAATCCAACCGGTTCCCGAACGGCGTTTATACTCTGTTTTGAAGATATAAACTGGACGGCTCGGCCGTCAAGATGATTCCCAGAAACCAGCACAAACCTCAGAACAAGCTATCTGAATCATCATCGCATCTGGCACTGTGACTTGACCAACATGACCCAAAAGTACGCCAAAGACCAGCCCGCCGGCTTCACCAACCACATCGAACCCATCGCCATCGTGGGCGTACGTCTGTCCCATCCTCCCCTCCAAGACATCTGCTAACAATGACACCAGGCCGGCGGCACCGTGGGCAAATACATCACCCAGGAACTTCTCCAGACAGGCCAACACACCGTAACCGCGCTCACGCGCGCAGACAGCAAAAACAGCCTTCCCGCGGGCGTCCGCACCGTCACCGTCGACTATGACAATGAGTCTACTCTGGTCGCAGCCCTGCAAAACCAACAGTTCCTCATTATCACATTAAGCGTCACTGCACCAAAGGACACCCAGAGCAAGCTGATCCAGGCCGCTGCGAAAGCGGGCGTCCCGTATGTGATGCCAAACTGCTACGGCGTGGATATCACCGACGAGAAACTGCTGAAGGAGTCGCTGGCCGGGGAGCCGGTGAAGCAGGCTTGTGCCGAGATCGAAGCCACCGGTGTTTCGGCGTGGGTGGCGCTGGTTTGTGGCTTCTGGTACGAGTTTAGTTTGTCTACGGGGCCGGAGTGGTTCGGGTTTGATTTCAAGGAGAAGAAGGTCACGTTTTATGATGATGGAAGTACCAAGATCAATGTGAGTACGTGGGAGCAGTGTGGGCGGGCTGTCGCGGCTTTCTTGAAGTTCAAGGAGTTGCCGGAGGACGAAAACGACAAGAGCCCGACGGTGAGCGGCTGGTCTAACAAGCCGCTGTTTATCTCGAGCTTCCTGGCTAGCCAGAGGGATATGTTTGAGAGCTGGAAGAGGATTACTGGGGATAAGGACGAGGATTGGACGATTGAGTATGAACCCACCGCTGAGCGGTATCAACGCGGCATTGAGAGGATGCAAAAGGGTGATCGCAGGGGCTTTGCGCAGGCCCTGTATGCGCGGGTCTTCTATCCAAATGGGGGTGGAGACTATGAGAGCCGACGGAGGCTGGATAATTCTGTGCTTGGACTGCCTAAGGAGGATCTCGATGAGCGGACCAAACGTGCCAAGGAGATGTTTGAGAGCGGTTATTCTTACTTTTGATCTCCTCTGTTGACTGATTGTCGGTATGCCGTTCTTTATGAGAGATTTTATGGTCAATTTATGATCTTGTCAAAGCCCATACTACCACTACATGGTTTTGAGAATGGCTCTTTCAATGATGCTAAGCATTTTGCCGTGTCTTCACCACTCTGCAGTTCCCTCCTGTGGGGAGCCTAAGCACCAACATCATTTCAATTAGCCGGACGCAGCTAACCCAAGTAGATGAAAGATTTATCGGAGGCTTGCATAGCGCCTCAACAACAGCGGACCAGATGGTTGATCATAGTTGATCACAGCTGACCACACTTCAATGACATCAATCTAATTCAACTGAATTTTAGCTAGATCAGAACAGGAAGGAGAAGCCTTCATAGGCTTGCTTAGCACCTCAAGATATATGGACCGAACAGTTGATCGCAGTTGCCGCAGTTAAACAAAGATTGTATGCTCCTTCAGTTCGCCATTCTTGGTGGGGCGTTCTATTGTGCATTATTGAGCGAAACCAACAGCACTCAACTCAATGATTATCAAAGTCAATTCTCTGAAACTTAGCACCGACTGCAACATCTTTTCAATCCTGGCGGTGGAGGTCTTTGTCTACTTCAATTGTCACGGGATAAAGGTGATCTGGCGAATACCATGCAAGCGTTTCCTCCTCGATCTTCTCGGCTTGGTCGAAAACAAGAAGGCCCGGATTTGAGAACTGTTGCACTGGTGAAGCGGCGCGCCGTCAAAGTAAACGCCTAATTAGTAGCCATGACGGGTGGAACAACATTGCTAGTAGAATGAGCCTCGGCGCCTTGACAAGTGATACAAAACAAATAGAGATAGTTGTTAGAGAGGAGGCATATCAGTAAGCTGATGTAATCACCCACGTGAGCAAGGGCTGCAAGGCAATTAATTCCTTTTGATATAGATTACTGGTTGCCTGATTGGGCATATTATTTCTACCTTCCTGATTTTTAGATAGATTATAGTCTTTTGATAGTTAAGAATAAGTTAATTACCCCTATCTAGATGCCTGCATTACACAATATAAAGTCTAGTTAGTTACCTAATAGATCAGAAAGAATCATACCTTTTAAACTTTTTCGTTAGCAGGCAAATTACTAAATTTACTAGTGATTCTAAAATCTCATATACTTCTGAGCTTTCCAACACTACGTCATATGTAAATCAATAATATAGATCTATTTGGAATTGTCAACTGATGTAAGAAATTAGACCATACATCTGCATTTGCACCTTGTCTGGGTCTCTGGTAGCCTGCCGACCGTGTTCATCGGTAGGAGCTAACACAATGTCGCATAGTGCGATTTGACACGCCGTTTGATTTAAACATCTTCAAGGCAGATTAGATGCTCATCCGATAGACCGAGGGAATATTCAATTACCAGGAAACCTTTTCGAGACAAAAACGAGCACGGCATGTTTGGCGCCCTTGGCGTAAACGCTCTGGATGATCCCAGAGCATCCCGTTCCTAGCCAGTTGTAGATGCAGTTTTGTCAGTCTGACATGCATTGACTTGCTTTTTGGGTACGAAGTGTTGGGTTACGCAGCCTATGCATCGGTTGGTTTGAAGGCAGCGTGGATGGTGTTTGCATTCTGTTAGGTGAGCTTTGGTATGTGGCGGGGTTGAGGTTGCATTTTAATTAGGTAACAGATGGTCAGATTGAAAATAATAGGAAGAACTCAGAAGGCCTTTGACGGGAAGGAGTATTTAGAATGCAGAAGACTAGAAAATGGTCTTACCATTTATATACCAGCAAATATTCTTCCAAATTCAATCTCATACGGTATCTGTCTATGAACAAATGGAGCATAATTTAAATACAATATTCCATCGAGGCTATAATACCCGCGGCCCCGAGCTAAACTATATATAGTTCAATGCTCACCCTCCACCATTGGTATATTCCGGTCTCACTCGTTTCAACCCTTGTAGTACCACAGCCTTAGGTCGCACAAAATCCTAGATGTGCTATAGGCCAGATTCATAGTAATATTTCTATACGAAGGTGGACAAGACTCCAGATCCTGTCTACTTAAAGCTTACTACTCCTGCCCGCATACTGTAACCCAGAGTGGGTAGACGGAAATGTCACACCGTCAGCACTTGCAGCACGTTCCAAAGAAAACTGATTATTGTCAGGATTGTCTCAGTTCCATGTGTCATGGTATGAATTCAAGCCTTCCACATAAATATCTTGCAGGTGGGGTGAAGTTCACGTTGTTTGCGTCAAGTGCTCGGCTCTGCGCGGTCGATCTTGCAATAGCTGGAGAGATTAGCTTTTCAACGTCGCTCTGGTAGATTCGTCTGCCTGGTACTTCAGATTATGATGGCAGAGTCACCACCAGGAGTAGATCCAACCAAAACTCCCCTTGGCCCTGCACCTGCCTGGCAGAAGTCGAACTTCATCAATCCCGGCAACCCTGCCAATGTATACTACATCGTCGCGGGCACCGGTACTGCGTTGATGACTGTCCTTGTTCTTGTGAGGCTGTATATCCGGTTCTTAGTTACTCATACGCCATGGTGGGATGACTGTAAGGCTCTCTCTACTGGAATATGGGATGATTTGCTGATATGTTATAGTGACTGCTGTGCTTGCGCTGGTATGGATGAGAATACAATAAATCCTTCCGCAGTCTGAAGCTCACAAGTATACGACCCAGCTCTCTCAATCCGCATACACAGGCGTGATTATCAAAGGTTATTCAACCTCTCTACCACTAATCGCAACGTCAATCCTAACATGTATATCTACAGAGGGATCCCTCGGTCTCGGCCGACATGCTTGGGACGTCACAGTGGCCAGGTTCGCTGAATTCGATAGAGTGAGTCAATCAGACTGGCTCAAAGAGCTACTGTCCATCAAGCTGACGGGTCATAGTATGCCAGACTCCTCACCGCGCCAGCAATCTACTTCACGAAGCTGACCCTGCTCCTGCTATACCTCCGCCTCTTCTTGCTGAATCGCCTCGTGAAGATCGGTATCTGGGGAGGTATCGTGTTCTGCACGGTCTACTACACCGCTATGCTTTTCCTCAACATCTTCTTAAAAGATATGCACGCGCTCTTGATGTTGGCGTACAGCGTGGGTGTTATCGGTGTTGTCAGTGACGTGTACATCATCACACTTCCGTTGCTGGCTATTGCACAGCTGCATCTGAGCAGGACAAAGAAGTGGCACGTTGCTGCTGTATTCCTTACGGGACTTTTGTGAGATCCATCCTCGTCTCATGATGGATTGGCTAAGCTAATTGTCGCATAGAAGTGTGGCGATGAGTTTTTTGGCCTGCGTATACCGCTTCCAAATCAACATCACGGACATCACTTACTCCCTCCGGGAGCTCTACATCATCAAGTATGTATCCGTTCCGCCCTTTAACTCTCTACCTATCCTAACCCTGCCCTCCAAAACCAGCACAGTGGAAGTCGACACCGGCATAATATGCACCTGCCTCCCCCTCCTCGGCACACTCTTCAAAGAAAACACCAAGGAATCCTGGTGGCTGACCCGCTTCCGTTCCATCCGCAACCGTCTATTTTCCTCACGAGCAGCCTCGCAGGGCTCAGGAGGATCCCGAAGTGAAGCTGGTTCCTCGCGCTTGCGATTTCCACACAGCGTGAATCAGAAACATCAGGATCATAGTTTTGATAATATCAACCTTATTCTGCAGACCTCAGCCGCGGATGTGGTGCCGGAGACTAATAGTGTACCGCTGCCGTCTAGTTCACCGAATGCGATTGGGCAGAAGTGGGGAGATTCTTGCTGTTAGGTAGGTTAGGAGTAAGGTGTAGTTATCTAGTTAGTTGGTGGAGGATTGTGGCTGTGGTAACGGTGGTTGTGGTGTCTTTATCCTGTCCTTATATCTGTCTTTGGCGATGGTGTACCTATGGATGTATATTTACTGGGTGGCAAAAGGTGATTGTTTGGTCTCTGGCTAGGTTAGAGTCTGATGTGGTTTACTTCATTTGGGCTAAAGAGTAGGTATGGTATGATCCTCAGTCTGACGTTGTCTAGAATCTACATTAATAGTCAATACTGCCAGACTCACAGGTTTTACCATTTAGTGCTTAGGTGCTATATCACCCAAAACCCATTCATTATTTCCTAGAGTTTAATATTCAGCATGGTGCAGGTTACTGTCTTTTGCCCTTCCTATTCAAATAGCTGTAACAAAGCAAGGGAGAATATTAAATTCACCATCACAGCCTGTGTTTTTTAGATGGGCGAATCAGGATCACTGGGTGCCTTCTAACCTTGACAACCCACAGGATCCGTTCATGAAGCAGGTTTGTGACCCTATTCAACGAGTCTTGCCTCTCCTGGAATTGGCTGCCGCTGAGGCGATCAAGCGCTCATTCTTCGACCTTGGCTTAGATCATGATCCGATGGACACATCAGATTAGGCATAGATACTCTGTAAAGCTCACCTTGATCAAAGGCTCCAGGTAGTCCATGTTCTTTAGTTCGTGCTATGGTCATGATTAATGTTCCCTTACTATAGAGTAAGAATCACCCGCAAATGGAGTCATAATAAGTATAATAATACCTCTTCATATTCAGCACCAGGCACCTAGAGCAACATAGGATGCAATTGCAAGAGAGATCAAAAGCACAGGACCACAGATAGTAGATTAAAGCCGTAATATTAATGATTACTAATTGCCAAGTAGCGTAACCCGGATGTTTTCCTACTAATACCATTGCCACTAGTTACGAAAACTCTCCCCCTAATCCTAACTTCCTAAGTACCCTTTTTCCTCTCTATTACAACCTGCTATTTTATTACATTCAAAGCCTAGTGCTGTAGCATGGCCCAATCAAGAGACTCCAAAGATGAAAATACTTCTGAAAACCAGTTCTTTTACCACTCCTCTTGGCCGGCACGGTGGTCGCACCCTGAATTCACTGATTGCAACACAGAGCGTCATAAGCGCTGGAGTCAGCAGCCCTGGTATAGAAATCACGATCGCTCTGCTGTGCGGCTAGTTGAATTGGCTGATGATGAACGCTGGCCCTGGGGCTTCTTCATCTACCGCACGGTGTACACCCCCGAGTCTGATCAGGTCTGGTCTGCCTGTTTGGAGAAAATTGACCGCTATGTCCACTGGCAAATTGACCATGTTGATGGTGACGAATATGCAGGGGCTGAGGACCATGGCTTTCCTGAGAGGCTTGTCCATGAGGGATACAAAAATGTTATCCTTGAGGATAAAGAACGCTGGGATGGTGCATCAATTGAGCAGATTCGCGAGGATTTCAAGAACCGTGTTGGCGCTAGGATACTGGAGGTTGTGCCTCGGTACACAGTGTGTCTGGCCATTGATCAGCATTGCTTAGATTCAATTGTGAATGCTTTTGAGCCAGTGGAGAGGATGCAAGGGGGTGGGCCAAGGATGGGATTTATTACTATGGTTGATCCTACATTTGTACCAGGGGACTGTGAGGGTTATTATGGGTTTATGCGAGTTGAGATCAACACGCTTTGGTGGCTGACGGTACAGTTAAACTCGTCGTTTTCGATGAGAGACATCTGTCCAACGGTGCAACCAGGCAAGATACCAGTTTACAATGCCGACTACGGTTATGCCGATGATGATCCGTCATGGACTGGGCCTAGGCCGGTAACGCCCATGACTTACCGTGAGTATGTTAATGCCCAAAGGGCACTGTGTGAGCATTTAGGGATGCAGCAATGAACGGTAGTTACCATGAGACCTACTCTCTATGCCATGGGATGTAAAGAGATTAAAAGAACAGAAAGAAAGGGCATAATCAGAAACCAGAAGGACTACGCATTTCGAGCCAAGAATATCCGCAGTAAACCTCAAATCAACTCTGCCGTGTCAAAAAGCAAGCTTCTGGGCGAACTTGCGGCATATCCCAGAAATTAAGATAGCTAATCATGCTGCTAAAGAAGGTGCTACCCTGGATACTCCTCCCATAGTTTAAGCATTCTTATACATTATTAAAGAGACAAGTGAAAGCTAGTGCTATATCCACTATGCAAACTAACTAGACGTCTACTGCTCCATAGTCTTACTAAGATCTTGGGATTAACTATCTCCTCCCTAAGACACCTAGATAAGCTTCATCTCCCCGCCATCTACTTGGGCTTATCCTTGCAGCCTGCACAGGACATGGAGATTTTGCAGCCTACCATGAATACTTCAATTATATAGACGCCTATCTCATCTGCCGCTGCAGTGTAAGGAAAACACCCATACGTTTCTTCTGCTACCGAATTGCCAAAAGATGGGCTCCTCGCCCTGCTGGGCCTCACTCTAAGGTCATACCTTTTCTACTAGGGACCAAAAGGGGTGCAATCAGACTTGCTTCCTGGCTCACAGAGACTTGCTGCTTCAAGTATATCTGCCCCCGCCACCCCCATCTTAGCACACGCTAAGCTGGCCCCCCATTCTCCTTTGTAACTTTAACTTTTCCTTTGTTTTTATATTCCTTCAAACCAAAAAAGGTGTAGAGGTGGTACGACTGATCATGGCGTCTAGGTGGACCAATGCAGCTGGCATCAACACACATCCTGCACCCGCAGGGGCCCCCTTTTTTGGTCACAGCAGCTATGTAAATGCTCCAAAGAGCCTCTTTCTTGTTTTAAAGAATCTGTATATAGAACTATAGATTTCGAAGCCCAGGACTTACTATCTGGCGGCCTTTGTCCCAATAGGGAATGTTGGGAAGCATGGCTGTCACGACCAACGGCCGTTAATACACACACACACTCTCTCTTTCTCACTTACCAGCCGGCCAGATCAAGCCAATTGGTACACTGTCCAATTCTAAAAAAGGTAGTAAATAAGGGAATGAACAATAGCCGCAATACACACCAGACATAAGCTCATCTTCCCATGTAACTCAAGGCACCACAATACTCTTCCAACTCCTATCATCTGCCACGCCTTCTGTGTCTGTAGCGGTAGATCAGCAGTTGGGAATATCTCTCTGACACGTGCCCCTCGCTGCCTGGAGGAGGAAGGAATAATAGTTTCGCAAGCTTGAGGAAGGAAACTCGCCTCGACTGATATCAAGGCGATATAAGAGGGAAGGAGGAGCACAAGATGAAGAGCCAACATCAAGACAGATACCGAGATATCTGACAGGATGATGTTCGACTTTCTCGCAAAAGTCACATTCTCGTGGGGCGTACCGCTAAAATTCTCAACGATGGTAGGAATATGACTCATACAAGTTTCAGTGAAGGCACAGACCAAGGCCGGAATAATCAAGGATTTCCATCGTCTCCAGTCGCGCCGTCTGCTAACTAGGTTGATTTGGTCTCGAGGGAGGATCATACGAGCGGACCAGAAGAAATGGTTCTCTGCAAGCAGCACCGATGAGACGATAGAAGCAAACGGCTGCAGGGATCTATGTCGCAGGACCAGAGAGGATAGCAGTTTAGTTAAAGAGGAGTGAGCAACCCAATAAGAACATGCAGCGCTGAAGCCACTTAAAAGAAGACGGAGGCCACCCTTGCTGTAGAGGGAAGAAAGCGTCCGTATAAGCCGTCGGCAAGAGGGAATCCGCTTTTCGCCGCCCGTTTCATGGGAGTCAGTCCGGATCTCGGCGGTTTCGAGTATCAATATGGACATAACAACGTGACCGATCACATATCGGATCTTGCTGCCTTGAGTCACCGGAGAAACGAAAGGCGATTTTGAGAGAGGGACGAAACTCACTAGCAAGCTGAGGATAATACCCGCAATAACTGGGATTAAGCAGGTAAGGTTTTTTACTTGGGCAGGTTCCTCTTGTAACAGCCTATGAGCTCGCGCAAGGAGAGGGTCATCGCCGGAGGAATGGATAAATGTGTTTAACAATTCGCGGAAGAGCGACAACAGAAAATTTGGGCGTGGAGTGTATGCCATCATTCGGGCTTTGAGTGTGAACCTTGGTGACGGAAGAACTTAGGGGATAAGTGATGGCTGACAATGCAATATCTCTCTGTGCCCGTTGATAAAAGCAAAATAGGTATCCTAATGCCTACCCATGCATATATGATGTCTCAGGCAGAAGGGAATTTGGTGCCCTTCATTCCAACCAATCCCAAAAATAGCGCATTGTTGGTCACTTCGTTCAATCCTAAAACTAAGCTAACACTAAGCTAATGTAAGATAAGACTACGGGAGATTAGCATCCCGCAGGTTGGGGATCAATAGATATCTAATTTGATCAATACATGATATAGTTCAGGCCACATTGTTTCTGATCCTTGGTCCCTAAGAGGGTTACATCCGACTGCGCCGCTGGAAACTGGCATCACTAATCACTTTCCCCCCCTACCCGGGATTCCCAGTCCTTATTTCTGGTTTAACTCGATTTGTATGTTGTCAAGGATTTAGTATTATATTCCGTATGATAGACTGTCCCCATCACTCCGATACATACATACTGGGTCGCTCTAGTCCGCCCCCATGGCCCAATGGGTACTTGTGTCGTACGCAAATCATCTGGGCTCCAAGCGATTTGTTCCTTTCTTTTGCTTCGGAGATTGGGCATCTAGTCATACGATAGGTACAGCGCTTCTTGGGGACCGAACGAAGGAGGCTTCGTTTAAATAGAGCGAAACAGTCCTGCGATGTATGCTGGAGATTAATGGGTGCGGCTAATCTGAGGAACTGTGATCATGTCCTCTGTGGAGGGGACGTGGCGAATGTGGACGAGTTATGGTGCTGGAAAGTCATTTGGAAAGGGCGGGAAGAGCTTTGGCTTATGTTCCTAAATGTCTCTTGTATGTACTAGGGGGTGTGTGTTGAATCGCATCGAGTTCATGGCTTGCACATAAGAGATGCACGGAGTTGCCATCCTACGCGGACTGCTGCCCATCCTCGAAAGATCTCGAGCTTGCGGGAAAGCCGATCTCGCTTCGAGTTGCGCGGTCATTGATTTAAAGAAGTAGCAATCTAAATTGACCCTTTTCCCTTGTTAATTATGGTAGTCCACCTTCGCCATAGATTGTATCCCTGGATTCTTGGTAAAGGGTCGGCGGAAGCTGCCCTGATCTGGCAGTATAGGTTCCGTTAATCATGTTCTCAGCTGCCCATACAGCGATAATTCCTATCCTTTACTTTGGGATTGTGGTTCCTGCATATGCAATTTTTATCCGAGTTGCTGCGCGGACGCTCCCATGGCAAGACAATTCTAAGGCACAGGAAAATATACCTTGGGTATCAAGAGCGCCTGGCAAAGCTTCACTTGGTCAGCTTGTATTGGTTTCTTTCAAATTCTTGCAAAGGTTCTACTATTAGAGATACTTTTCTCTCTTTCTTTGTTTATGCTGGTCTTCATTTTGTTTGACCCCTTCCTTCACAATGATGTTGCAGTATTTCCTGTCAAATATGCTGGCTAGTCTCGAAAATTGAGCGGTCTGGTAGAGCTTAGAGAGAACCAGTTGGCAGAGCAGTTCAATTCCGTATTTGTCTCCCAATATGTAGAGCTACGCATGTCTAAGAAAGACAATGTTGTCGCTGAGCAACCGTACTTCCCACCTCTCTTTCAAAGGACGCGAGAGAGCAAGAAAAATCACATCTCTCTGGCACTCTTTCTCCTCCAGATCTTCACTGGCATGGGACCGGACTTGATGACCATGCTCTCAAGGCTTGTCGGTTTCCACTCCGGACTAGGAAGTGCAAAGTGGTATCTACGGACGACAGTCGCAACAATCATAGTCAGCTCCATGTATGCCATGTTCCTTCCAACGCAAGCTCTTGCGCCCAAGCTGAAGGGCATGAATCCCTTCTGCAGCTTGGCCGCGTCCGCACCCAGCCACCGCTCCGGGAGGAACTCGAGCGGGCGCTCAAAGAACTCGGGATCCCGATGAATCGTCCAGTGAGGTGCACTGACAGTTGTGTTGCCGGCAACCCATACACCATCGATGGTCATGCCCTGCGGCGGCGTAACGCGCGGCAGCGCGACGCCCAGGCTCGGGCGAAGACGCAACGTCTCATCGATAACAGCGCGGAGGTAGGGCAAGAACTTGACCTTGTCGTAAGCGGGGACGATCTCGTCGTCGTCGTCGAAAGCGGTTTCGAGCTCCTGGTACAGGGTCTGCATGCAGTGGGGATGGCGGATGAGAAAGTGGAAGATATTCTGCAGCGCGCATGTAGTGGTTTCGCTGCCGGCGTTCACGAGCAGGGCGCATTCTTGGATCAGCTCACCCATTTCCATGGCAGTGGGCACGCCGTCGCGAGTGAAGTTCAGGGCCTCGAAGAAGTCGGTGCGTTTCTTGCCGTCGGCCTCGGCGGCCATCCTTTGTCGGATCAGGTGGATGGTAAAATCTGTGAAGACCTCGCCGGCGTGGAATCCAGGATGCCACCCGAACACCTTCCGATTGATCTTGAAATACGCCGGGTCGGCGTACCCAAGGGTCGAGAAGATAAGCAGGTTGTGATATGTTCCTGCTTCCGGGTGCGCTTGGTATTTATCGCCACGGATGGTTTCGCATGTGGCCAAGTCATCTCCGGCGGCGACAAAGCCAGGTTTGATTCCAAAAGCAAAATCCGCCGCTAGGTCAAGCGTAAGAAGATTAAACCAACGCCTAGCGTCTGTGAGCTCATGCTGCTCAAACACATTCTGGCCATGGCGTGGAGGATCAGTGCACAGTTGATCCCACTGGTGGACAAGTTCAGCAATATCCGTGTTCACGTTATGCTCCTTTTCCTCGACCGACTTTTGGGCAAAGGCATTCGCAAAAATCTTCCGTTTTTTGGCATGCTCGACTTTGTCAATGGAATCAAACAGTTGCCGGTGGACACCTGCCAGTGAATCATAGAATTTGTCCTTGAAACTTGCCGTTCCGTGGCCATAGATGTCTTTGGCGGCCTGCAGCGACGAGAACGACAGCGAGTTTGGTCCAATGCGCACAATCTTGCCGTACTTCTGATGCAGAGCGGTGATTGCGTCAGTCCTCGCTCCCGAGTAGTGCTTAAACATCATCCATAGATTGGTCACTGCGGCTAAAAAGGGCCCGGGATAGCGCCTCAGCTGCTTTTCATCTCGAAAGTACAAGTAGATTGGCGATAGAAGACCAGCGAAGCACAACCCAGCGAATACCAGCTGAATGAACACTATGGTTGGAGTACTTAGCATTTTCGCTGTCGGATGGTAATTCTCGATATGGTATGTCTCTGAACAACAGACAAAAAACAGCTGACAACATGGGATGACACCACCAATGTATAACCCTGTGACGCTTTAACTACTATGCCAGCACATTACGAGGTCAGCTGCTCTGCCATGATCCTCGGCTATATGGTAGTCTCGAGATGACCAAGACGTTGAGATTCATGGTTTTACCGGGGTCCAGCCTCGTCACGGTATGAGTTGTGCCATTTTCGGTTTCTCACTTGTCGAGGACTTGAGGTTAGACTGTTAGATCGCTGGGTACGCGCACGCAGATACCGGCACCCCACGTTTGCGGGGTATCCGGTCGGTTGTGCAGGCCAATGTCATCGTGTCGATCAGATAAGGAGAATAGTTTATTCGAGTCTGGAAATTATCGTTGATTTCGCTTGATTGCTATGGGTGAGAATCATCGGTAGCCGGTCACGTGTTCGCTTCGAGGCCATATACCGATGAAAGATAGACAGATTGACAATGAAAGAGATGCTGAGACACTCTAGTATAGTTTCTGTGGTATGTCTGTATGATGCATGTCCGAGATATACAGCATCCAGCTACTACATATACAATGGTCTTGTCCTAAGAACAGACATGCACAACAACCATCAGGTGTATAGAAAGCGACGCGATGGAGCCCAGCAATTCAAGCGGCATCCTATCTTTGCCGACACTACCGGGAAACGGGAGAATGAGCTCACCTAAGCTCCTCTGTATCCCCGATTTAATAACGGTCTCCTTATTTCTCCTCACATGGGCTTGGTTCACCGACGGCTGGGGTCTCTGGGCTCCGAAACCTGATCCTCTGCTTTTCGTTCCGGTTCGAGATTGGAGCTCATACAAGAAGGCGCCGACGAAAAGCAGAAATATCGCAGAAGCTTTGAAGGTGAGAAGTCGGATTATCACTGTTTGGACTGGCATGGTTCCCCATTGCTCACGAATCGGCAGGACCTGGATTTAGTTGTCTTCTGGGGCTCGCAGAGCGGTCGCGCCGAACGTCTGGCGGCCAGCTTTGCGCGCGACTGCACTGGACGCTTCGGCTTGCGCGTAGCGGCCGCTGACCTGGATGACTACGACCCTCAGCACCTTACCGAACTGTCATCGACCAAACTAGTCGTGTTCATTGTCTCAACGTTTGGCGAAGGCGATCCCACGGACAATGCTGTCAAGTTCTTCTCCCTTCTCAAGGGTTTGCGTGACGCGGGAAAACCAGAGCTGCTGAAGAACCTGCGATACACAGCCTTTGGACTGGGGAATAGGAATTACAAGCACTATAACAAGATGGTTGATGTTGTAGATCAGACGTTAAAGGCGCTCGGAGCGAAAAATGTCGTGACTGTCGGGAAGGCGGACGAAGCAGAGGGACCGACGGCTACCGATGAACATTTTCTGGAATGGAGTAGCAGTGCTACTGAGACGATTAGACTGCTGTTTGGGGTAGAGGAACAGGAAGTGAGCTATGCGCCCGAATTCAGCATTATACGGATCGATGCGACTGCAGACAAGGATAACACTGCGAATGCGAGTCCCATCAACCCTCGCAGCGCTGCTCTTGCAGCGTCGCTGACGATTGCAAGAGACCTAACCAAAAGTCCGGACCGACAATGCTTGCACGTCGAGTTTGATCTGTCGAGCAGGAGGTCCATGAAATACCAGGCCGGTGATCATCTTCTGGTGTGGCCCCAAAACTCCGTTGACGAGGTGGAGCGTCTCTGTCGCTTGCTTGGGTTGAGTGAAGAGGAACGAAATGAGACGGTCGACATCAGGCCCAGAATCCAAGGCAAATCACCTGGGTTCCCGTCTCCAACGACGCGAAAAGCGATCCTGCACCACCACTTGGATATATCCGGTCCAGTGTCCCGAGACGCACTGCGACTGTTGGTAGAATTTGCGCCAACGCGGACCGCGCAAGAGTTTCTTTCCTCGCTAGCGAAGGACGCTATAAAGTTTCGCACACTAGTGTCTTCCTCCTTTCTCTCACTTGGCAAGGTTATGCAACTCGCATGCGACGACAGGACCTGGGACAAGCTTCCCTTTAGCTTCCTCCTCGATTGTCTAGGCAAGCTCAAACCTCGTTACTACTCTATCGCCACGTCGCCGACCGTCTCACCGCTTCAGCCGGCCATTACCTTGGCCATTACTAGGAAGACGTCGGATCCCGATGCCCAATTCTCTCGCTTCTACGGTGTGGCATCCAATTACCTTCTTGCTGTGTCTCGGAACCTTGGCCAACAACCGATTACCGACGGACCGAACTATGGGGTCAATGGCAACAAAGTCCTTGTCCAGATCGTACGGTCAACGTTCAAACTTCCGCGCAACCCTCTACGGCCCATCATCATGATTGCCGCGGGTACCGGCATTGCTCCCTTCAGAGCTTTCGTCCAAGAACGGGCATCAATAACAGCCCGCGGCCTTGCTGTTGGGCCAGCGCTGCTGCTTTTTGGCTGCAGATCTCCCACAGAGGACTTCCTCTACTCTGAAGAATGGGCAGGCTATGCGAGGCGGCTGCCCGGCTTTGAGTTCATCAATGCCTTCTCCAGACACGACGAGAGGAAGGTTTACGTGCAGGATAAGCTCATGGAGGAGAAGGAAAAGGTCGCCGCACTATTGGAGCAGGATGCCGTTTTGTATGTCTGCGGGAGTGCAGATATGGCGAGGGGGGTCAGGCGCGCCTTGATACGACTTTTTGTTGAGATGAAAGGTTGGCCTGAAGAGCAGGCCGAAAGGCATGTCATGGGAGAGATGAAGAAAAAGAAGCAGTTACTGGAAGATATTTGGTCAGGTTAAAGAGGATGGGTGCATGATATACCAATGATTAGATAACTTTCAGCAAGTATTCAAGCAGATATAATACTGTGCTCTATGTGTGTGTGTATGTGTGTATCTCTTTCTTTTGAATATACACCTATTACACAAGTGTATTGATATAAATGAATTATATCCCTCCCACGGAGCTTTGGCTCCATCTCTTATGACTTTCATAGTAACTATTTCCATGCTATGAGCCTAATTTATATAAAAATGGAAGCTTAGATATAGATCGAATGGATTATAAGAGCTATGAAAAAAATATCACACTGATTGGGATTACTCGTCCACCCAGTCAACATCCCAGTCCACCTTCAGCGCATTCACAATCCATCTAGTAAACGGTCAGCGCCTTCCAGTAGTTAAAACCACGGCCGAAAGGAAGCTAAGGGAACTCACGTTGTAGGCCAGCCTTCGTCCCTCTCTACAGTTCTCAGAAGTCGAACCAACAGTCGCCTTTCTTCATCGACATCGATAAACGAGGAAACTTGATCGATCCGAGAGTCGTCAGATCAGTCTCAATAGATCCGAGGGACCAACTGGACTTACAGGAAAAAATAGCATGACACATGGTGAAAATAACCGCAACGTTGGTTGGGTCTGTGAGACAAATTCCGCAAAGCGACCTGGCATGCAAAAGGACCTTTCCCTGCGCCTCCATGAGTAAGGATACGAAACATGCCACTTGCGGGTACGGACCTCAAGTTGCTGTCTTGCCCTAAGAAAGCCGAATTCTCCAATGGTAATCTTCCGTGTCTGCGGATGGTGAACATCGAGCAGGATTCGCGCGGCCAAGGACTGCGCCGCAGCCATTGCTACCGTTCGATTGTGGTTAGCGAAAATAGGTTCTTCTTCTGGAGATTCACCCACGTAGAACACACCGTGCCATTCGCTTCCGAAGCATATCTCGGGGAACCATCTCCCTTGTTCCGGTTCCCGATCATTACACGCTACCGGTAGAAAACTCTTCGGTTTATCGGCCTCCCACATGTCTAACGTCTGCACCAATCCATTCCATGCCTCTTCCTCCTCAGTCGGCGTCATCTCAAGCGACCTCGTTCCAAAGCAGAAATCAGCAACCTGGCCCAGAATCCATGTTATCCAGTGGCACCATTCTGACTCCTCCTCTACCGTCGGCAACACGCCAGTAGCCGGGGATGACAATCTGACTTCGATGTTGGAGCCGGAGATGTCGAACTTCAGCGATTGCCGGTAGACACAGGCGGGGTAGACGGATTGTCGAAAACAACACCAAAATGCCGCCCATTTCAGCCCGGAGCCTGAACCGGCCCAGGGATTGCGGATCGTGGAGGTGACCATCGCTGATACGCCTTTGAGATGGTGCTCGTAATCCCGGCCGCTGTCGGACACTGCACCAGAAACATGACATCAGACAACACGCCAATGAGCAGTACGAAAACAGCGGTAAGGTGTCCAGGCTGACTCACCATCCAGATGCTCGTACAGTCTTAGCAGGACCAAGGCTGCGAATAGGGTATCATCAGTCGCAGCGTTGGGATCCCCCAGCGCGGGTATCAGCAACCCGATGCACTGCTTGTGATAATCCTCCGCAATAGCGGAATCCCAGCTTCCCAAGCAGCAAAGATGCCGCGCTGCCAAAGCCGAGACCGCCTTCAGAAGGATTGGAGAGCGACGTGCAAGATGTGGCACCGTGATAGTGAAGTGTCGGTCGGCGTCAGAGAACCGCACCTAGATTCAAGCAAACGTGAGTCGATTATCAGTCAATGTAGAAACGGGGTATTACGCACCCATTTTGCCAGACGGCGCACATAGTGCTGGAGCAAAGTTTCCTCTTCCTTGGATACAGTGAACGGGGGTATGGAGCCTTGTGTAGTGGGCGAAGCAGCTTTAATGTCGCTATGGTCGAGATGAAGTTGGATTCCCTGCAGGGTCTGAACATCGAAGAGGGCCGACGCAGCTAGGTCGGCCTCTCCGGGCGGAGCGGTCCCTTCAGCGAGCGATGTGGGTACGGTGACACTTGGAACAACTGTTGATGGAGTAGTTGTTATACCTGTTACTCCCGAATCAGGTGAGCTGCTGATGCTCTGCGCAGGAGGAGGAGCCACTATGGGAGATGGATCAACATTGTCCCGCACGTCGTTCAGGGTTGGTAACTGCGCCGGGCCACTAGTACCAGGCGAGGCTCTTTGAGATGCCTTCTCGTAAATCGAGGTCCGTCTTGGACGCGCGGGTTGGGCCGCGGAATTGTTAGGCCGGAGGCAGTTTCGGCCACCAATCCGACATCTCCAGCAAACGGGTTTTTCTTCATCGCCTAAAAGGAAAAAAGGGATCGCAGGTCAGCGTGATAGTTGCAGCACCGGCAGGCTCTGGAGACACTGACATTTCAGATGACGTTGGCGACAGGTATAACTGATATGAGGCTAACGGTCAGCGTGACGGTACAAGCCAGGAAGATTGAGACAATGTCGCACCATCCGGTTCTCGACCTTCTTTGAGTGGTCTCCATCCATTTCTCTTTCTCCAAGTGTTCGGCTAGGGGTACTTGCTACTAAATCGAACGAGGCGATGGTCTGACAGTGACGGACAAGTCTTGATGCAACAGCAAACTGCGGGGCTGATGTGATGCGGGGAAAGCTACGAGTAGATCCAGTAGCCCATATCCCGGTATCCCGGTACCGGTACTGCCGACCTTGACCGCCTCACCTAACTAGCGCGTTGGCTGGAATGCCTGATCCAGGACCTTCAGCCTCTTGCTACGCCAACGATTCAACACATTTGCCTAATTTTGGGAGATGTGTATAGCCTCAACGCTATCGGTTCGAACAGATTCGCCTTACGTGCCTATTAGATAGATATCTTTCTTCACTACCGCGCTATCTGCAGGAATAAGCTGGATGCCCCTCATTTAGCCCCTGAGGTATGATTCTGGTAGTATGAATATTCGTTCGTTAGATACTAGATTAAAAAGAACCAGACCTTCTTTAGTTTATCATTTGTATGTACTGTACTAGAGACTATAGTTACTAGGGCTGTTGACGATTAGACAATTAGACGATTAGACGATTAGACAATTAGACGATTAGACGATTAGACAATTAGACGATTAGACGATTAGACAATTAGACAATTAGACAATTAGACGATTAGACGATTAGACGATTAAACGATTAGACGATTAGACAAATTAAACGATTAGACGATTAGACGATTAGACGATTGGACGATTGGACGATTAGCCGATTTGACGTAACACTAGGAAGAATAAGAAAGTAAATTTTGCAGTTAATCCATGGAAATGAGTCAGTGTAGTGTATGGCATCAATCCTTGATAAACACGGCTCTCAATTTGCCTCACAAAGACAATCGTATGTTGTCTGCCGACCTTGGAGGACCTTCAGTGAGGGGGTGGTGGGGGAAGGCAGGAGCACGTCGGGATGTCACCGCTGTCAGTCATTCTCGAGGGCAACTGAGCTGCGTGCCGAGGAAAATAGGGCGCGACAATCAAAGGCCGAGCTGCGAGTCAAACAGGCAGCGACAAGGGTCAGAAGCATGAGTTTTAGGGTTCAGAATGGGCACCCGCCCGACCCCCCTTCCCGCGAGCTACTCCAGAGAAGCGGTTTGAGATTCTGTGTCGCCTGCAACAATGTGGCCATAGATGCAGCAAGCGAGAACCGTACTTTCGGATCAAATAGGAAACTTTAAAAGCTAATCGATTAGTATTGGATGGTTTGACGAGATAGACCGAGGCTTGCTTCTCGTCTCGATATTCCTTCTTCGGCACACGGGCCTGCAAGCGCTCTTACCCTATGGCCCTATGGGGTGCTCAAGCTGTGGGGGCGAATGTCAGAGATGGTGGGAACCGTGGGATGAGCAAGCTTTCCCCAGATTTCCTGCTTCCCCGCACTCAAGTTACTCCCTTTACCCGTATTCCACCTTGGTTAAAAAGTCCCACATCTGAAAATCTCCCGATTAGAAGTACTATTGGATGATTTTTCGTGCTGATCCAGGGTGGTCAGCTAATACAAGCCATGTCAGAAGTGGGCCCAGAATAATGTCTGCTGCACAGCCCATCCTTGCGGGGAATACCGAATAACCTTATTCCCGCTCAGTGAGCATACCCCGGCTCCACATCATGTCGAGACGAGCTCGGGTCCGAGCATCTTGCGGCAGCTAACCGGGTCTGGCCCTGTGCAATAGTCTATCTATCCGTCGGGTAGAAACGTCAAGCTGACACTCGCCTCCACAGCTTGAGCACCCCACAGGGTAATAAGCTCCCGAGTAGCTTACGTGGGGGGCCGGGTGGATATTGCACCTACAGCTTTCGAAGCGAGTTGGACCCAAGCTTCATGGGGAATGGACTGATCGCAAATGTTGCAGCTGGATGATATGCGGATGATGCGGTGCAGGTATTGAAATTGATATATAAGGGCTCTTCGGTGTCCCTCAGTCCTACGCTCCTTCGACCAAGTACTGTGTTTTGTAAACCTGCGACGACTACAATCGCTCAAAATGATTCACACTTTTGGAGGTTTGACAGGCGATAGGCTTAACACTGCCATCGCCGTTTTTGCAGGATGCTCGTTTTTCCTTTTCGGCTATGACATGGGTTACATGGGTTCGGTGCTTACGCAGAGGGTAAGTTAGCTGTTCTCGACCTCCTTCGCGACTGCGAGTTCTCACTTGTTTGATCTCATAGTCATTTATTAAAACCATGCCGTCGACTGCCACAAATCCTAACATCCAAGGTATCTCTGTTGCTATCTTCGAAATCGGTTGCCTTCTTGGTGCTCTCTCTCTTCTCGAAATCGGTGATCGTCTTGGTAGACGAAGGACGGTCTTGCTCGGCCAGGCACTTATTCTCATTGGTGGACTTCTCCAGGCTGCTGCTTTCGGGTTGCCTCAGTTCCTAGTCGGTCGTGTGGTAGCCGGTGTCGGTTTGGGCCTTGAAGTTGCTACTGTGCCTCCTTGGCAAAGTGAGTGTGCCAAGCCGAAGTCCAGAGGTTACTTCGTGATGATGGAAGGTGCGCTGTGCTCCTTCGGTGTGATGGCATCTTTCTGGGTGGGATATGCGTAAGTCAAACAAACCTCCCTTTAGGAGCCATAGCTCACTTTATATCCGAAAGTTTTTTGAAAGGGGTCGGTGATGAGTCCCAAGTATCGTGGCGCATGATCGTTGGCATCCAATGTATCATTGCCGCCGTTGTTTTTGCTGGCGTCTTCTTCCTTCCAGAGTCTCCAAGGTGGCTTTTGAAGCATGGATACAAGGAAGATGCGTACTACGTCCTTAGCGCTTTGCTTGACCGTCCAACGAATTCCGAGGAAGTCGAAGAAGCCGCGCAACTCATATTGACATCCATCGAAGCTCAAAAAGGAGATCAGCCGTTCCGGTACAAGGAACTCTTTACCTTCGACAAGAACCAAAACTTCAGACGTATGATGCTCGGTATATTCGTGCAAGGCGCTCAACAAATCTCTGGCATCAACGTCTGCAATACTTATGTCATCGTCATCCTCACCAAACAGCTCGGGTTATCTGCCGATAGAGCTCAGCTCTTAGCTGGGGCCAATGGCACGCAATACTTCCTGTTCACCTTCCTCGCCATCGTCTTCATCGAGAGGGTCGGCCGTCGTAAAATGTTGATGTTCGCTGCTTCTGGCCAGGGGGCCTGTTTCTTCATGCTTCCCTTCCTCCTCCGGAGTCCCAGTAAAGCTGCCCAGGCAGTCGCCATCGCATGCATTTTCCTGTTCAACACCTTCTTCGGCCTCGCCTGGGTTGGAATTCCATTCCTGTACAATGCGGAAGTCACACCACTCCGTATTCGTGCACCAGCAAATGCTATTGGAACTGCTTCGAATTGGATCTTCTGTTTCATCACGTATGTTCCGCGTGCCCTTACCCTAAAGTCTTCTGCTAACTTGGCGCATATCAGGCTCATGATCGCCCCCGTTGGTTTCAAGAACATCCACTACTGGCTCTATATGGTCTTTGCGATCATTAACCTGTCCTTCGTCCCAATCACGTACTTCTTCGTGGCGGAGACGGCTGGTCGCTCCCTGGAGGATATGGACGTGATCTTTGCCAAGGCGCACCACGAGAAGCGCAGCCCAGTCGCGGTTGCAAGAGAGTTCAAAAACGTCCATGCAGATGTCCACCAAGCTCGTGTCGTATTAGGTTTAGATGATACCGGAACCAGCACGCCAACATCCTCTAACGAGATGTCGGAGGGTAAGGGCAGCGCGACCGTTTTAACTGCTGAGCACCGCGAGGTTGTCTAGGGTCCACTATGGTCTGGCAGGAGGCTGGACAGTGTTTAATGTAGAGTCCGAACGCTTGGAAACGTTGGGAGTATGAAGATGGCACGGGAGAAGTTTGAATGTTTGGGGAGTTTGAGAGTTTGAAGACACGATTTGGGATGATTAAATTGTCGTTATGGGTATAAGACGCTTAAGCAAACAGATTGATGGCAGAGAACATTCCAAGTAAATTGTGATTGTAGGCGCTGAGCTTAATGCAGCATATTGCAGCTGGGAAGTGTTTCCCCTTTCGCACCATGGCAAAGACACATCATGTTGTGTCCCCTGCTGCGTGGTTCCTGTTCCTGCTACCACTATCATCTCCCACTAGCTAGAGATGGTTGTCTTGACACCCTTTCTGGCTGAGTGGTGATGATATAACACATCACTGTCGCGCAGAACCGGTATGAGTTGAGTCTTAGGTCGCCTTTCCTAAACGTCGACATGGTGAAAGAAGGGCTCAAGGTGCGGAAAGCTTAATGAGAGCTGGTGCTGCACCTAGAATTCCACTCGTATGCAAAGCTGCCAGTGAAGCATCTAGACCCTAAACCCCCACGCTAACGTGCTTGCTCGGACGGTCAGACTCAGACCTGCCAGGCTAATTTCGGCGATCCCGTGTCGAATAGGCAAGAAGACTCGGAATGTCAAAACCTCTGCAGCAAAGGCAAGATGCGCTCATGCCCTGCGTAAGAAAATCAGGGCGGGGCTTAAACTCTCTATGCGGGGGAGAGATACACTATTTCTTACCCGAGTCTTTTTCTCGCCGGGCGCCAGGACTCCGGGTTTAAGGACGGCCAAACAACGGTCCACATACCTCAATGTTGCTTGAGTATTTGGTTCAGATGATGATTTAAGGCTCCTTTCCGCGTTGGAATGTAGTCAAGAGGCCACAGCTTTCTCAACGTACCTTAACACATTTCAAAGGTTCATAAACCATTTATTTATCATGCCTTCCCCAACTGAAGAAGTCCGCGCCGTATGGACTTCCGACCAAGGGTCGATGGCTCAACAGACGGCCGTCACCAGGTGGCCCAAGATTGTTGAAGGAACCGTTGACGATGTTGACGAGACCGCAGCCTCTTCCGACAAGGACAAGCGGGCCCAGTGGGCTACCCTGCGGATTGCGCTGCAGGAGATCATGCATGAGATCGAACGGAATGAGCCTTTGAAGTCGGTCTAGTCCCGAACGGCTGTCAATGAGCGTACGCTAACTGCCAATAGACCTTTACGAGAAGATGGAGCGCCTGGCATTGGTGATTTTAACAAGCAGCTCAACGCGATTGGAAAGTGCAGTTGGTTGGATTGCCCGTGGCTATTCGCAGAGTGTTATCTGTACAGGTACGTACTACCATTATTCGGAGCTTCAAAGCCACAGGCTGATTGAAGCAGGCGCATCCAGACCATCTTCAACACATCCAAAAAATGGCAGGGCTATGACGTATTCAAGCGTCAAAAAGACTCAACTTTTGTCAAGTCACGAGTCGCCGTGGAAGAGCTCGCCAGCCGGTACATGCAAGTCGTAGCAGAGTCGGATCTTGCGAGCCACGGCAGCGAGGAGGCGCGGCGGTTGCTGTTCATCGAAATGACCGAAATTGCACTGTGGGGCAACGCAACTGATTTGTCGCTGCTGAGCCATTTAAGCATGGAAGATATGCAGGATCTCCAGGGACAGGACGCCATCCAGAAGAGCCAGAAGAATATCGTGGATAATGATACTGATGCCGTCTGGACCTACCTCCAGTGTACTCCATCGCCGGTAGATCGTCATGTGGACATGGTGTTGGACAATGCTGGGTTCGAGCTCTTCACGGACTTGATCTACGCGGCTTATCTCTTGGATTGTCGGATTGCAACTTCGATGCAATTACATATAAAACAGTTCCCCTGGTTCGTTAGTGATGTCGTTCCGACTGACGTGGATTCACTTTTTGAGCATCTTGAATCAGCCAACTGCTTCCCTGACCGCGAGTACCTCGATCGACTGGTTCCGCGACTACGCAAGTTCTTTGAGTCTGGTGCCATTAGCATATCGAGTGACCCATTCTGGACGACCCCCTACTCCTTCCATGAGATGCCGATCCGAGCACCGGCTCTTTTTGATCACCTTCAGTCCAGCTACCTCGTCATATTCAAGGGCGATCTGAACTATCGTAAACTAACCAAGGATGGGCTGTGGCCCTACACTACGTCCTTCCGGGAGGCGCTTGGTCCCTTGGGGAAGAGCAGGATGAAGATCCTCGCTCTTCGAACGAACAAGTCCGACACCTGCGTTGGTGTAGAGAGTCAAGGCAAGGTGGACGCCTTGAATGCCGAAGCTCCAGGCGATGCCTGGGTCCGAAATGGGAGATACGCTGTGATAGCTTTTCATGATGGTCACTGTTAATATTCACCCCCATTTCGGATATAGGTTACTTTCATGGATATCGAATACATTGCACTATCTCATGCCTACCAGCCTGTATGTAATCCAAGAAATTTGACAATCACTGCGTATCATGAGAGAGTTGATAAAGCATTCTAGGAGTAGTACAGTTAGAATGACACAAATACAATAACCCCATTCCGCTGCTGCGCCCTTCCTCCCGCAGGCTTTGCCTACATCCGCTCTCCTACATCACTCTGCATGAATGTGCTTCGCTGACCCTTCTTCCAACATCTGGACCGGCTCTGCATCCTTCTCATTAACAATGCCGCCCGCCATTCTAGTTTCCTCAAGCATCTTCAACCCCCTCGCAACGCTCTCCTCATGCTCCCTCGCCATTCTCTCATAATCCTTTTCATTACGCCAGACGAACCATGAGTTGGAGCGAAACAGCAGGTCAATGGACTCCAGCGATCTCCCGGCCGTCTCAGGGAAGAAGCAAAATATAACCGCAATCCAGACATAGTTTGTGACGCCAAAGATGTAGAAAGTCTTATATCCCAGTTTCTCCACCACAATCGGGAACCACAACACACCGCTGCCGATGCCGATTCCCCACCCGGCAACGAGGAACGCGTTGCCCTTTGCACGGAGAGCAGTGGGGAAGATCTCGGCAGCGTAGAGAAAACAGGGGATCATCCAGAAAACGCACAGGGTAAAGGTGAAGATAAGAATCATGGAGGACGCGGCGGCCCCATATGAAGATTGATGTTCGGGATGGTCGAGGGCGCCTTTGGAGAGCTACATGTAATCCGTCAGCCTAATATATTGCATGTTTTGAAAATGAAAGCCTTCTCACCCCAGCATAGATCCACATCCATGTGCCTAACAGTGCATTCCCTACCATCAAATTCATACGTCGTCCAAACCGATCACAGAAGAAGGCGGCGACAATGGTGCCCACCAGGCCCATTGCGCCATTAAGCCCCGACAACCAGCCCGTCTTGGCCGTACTAAACCCAGCCTGCTTGAAGACCGTCGGTGCATAGATGGTCGTGAGAGCGATGCCCGTGCCGACCTCGACAAGGATCTGGATCCCAAACGCCAGCAATGCACGACGGCCATAGTGCAGCCCGCCCTCTTTGTAATCCGTTGCGAGGCGCCAGTACGAGTCGAAATCCGCGAGTTCTTTATCCTCCTCCAGTGTCTTCTGGATTTCCACATATTCTCGCTTCACGTCGGGATGATCGGCATTCCCGTTCCCGCGCAAAACGGCAAGGATTTTCAACGCTTCGTCATTCCGCCCGACCTTCATCAGCCACCGCGGCGACTCAGGCATCACCCAGATGGCGGGGATCATGACGGCGGGCGCAACGACCTGCAAAGCGAGGGGCAAGCGCCACCGGAGTGTAGAGTCGCCACCATTGACAAACGACAGCCCATATCCGACCCAGTAAGCGCTGAAGATGCCGAGAAAGTTGCCGCACCAGAGCAGGGAGAAGTGCGACCCGCGGCGGCGAGCCGAGGTAATCTCAGAGGACCAGACGGGAATGACGCAGATGAAAAACCCGACGCCGAACCCGGCGATGACGCGGGAACAGCACATCCAGGCGATGTTTTCGGCTGCGGCCTGGTACGTGTCAGCGTGCGTCGCGCATATTCAGTGAAGTCTTGATCATCACCAACCATCAGCGATCCACCTAGAAGGACAAATAGCGCCCCTAATATGACCGCTTTGACACGGCCATACTGGTCGGCAACGTGGCCGCCCCAGAAACCGCCAATAGTGGCACCGAGGTAATAAATGGCGACGATGCCACCCTCTCTGGTTGGGTTATCGACAGTGCCATCGCCGGGGCCGAGGCCCATTTTGGCCTGGTATGTCGGGGCGCTGTTGACAAATCCCATGTTTCCCTGATTCCAGCCTTCGAAGAAAATGCCCCAGGCCACAATAAAGTTGACCATGAAGATGAGTTGAGCGCCGCTCATGCGCTCCCAGAACTTGCGCGTCATGTTGACTGGGGTGCGGATTGGGGAGAATGAGCACCAAGATGATGTAAGAGACCTCAATACAAGTCGGAGTGGAACAAAGTCGCTGGTGGTGGTGGCTGTGGGGTCATCTACCCCGGATTTTCAAACTGATTTCAAAGAAGGCGGAGATGCCTATCTTACGGCGGACTATGGTCGGCGTGGTCCAGCAAAAAGAAGGGCAGCGTGTGTTGAACCATGAATTAATTTGAAGGTGTATGACACATGTTTAGCATAAAGTTAAGATACCACCACCACTACTACCATACTAATCTTCAACCCTCTCTGGCCACGAACACGAAGGTAAAGGTTCAATTTTGAATAGCATCAATTCAAATCATATACCTGCCCTGATCACCCCTTAATATCTATGAGTTTATGCTTATTATATACATGATATTAATAGAATATTAGTAAATTTTAAGATATTTTAATATTATGCATATGCAGAGGGTAAGTAAAGGGAACAGAATATACGTAGGTAAGTTGACTTGAACATATATATATATTCACTCTCCCATAGTAAGCATACTATGGAGTATATACATAATGAAATAAAATACTACATAAAGAAATTAACTAAAATAAATTAGATTTAGTAATCTTACTTAATACTACGCATATGATGAGCATAAATTTATAGATATTAGGGGCTGGTCATGGCAGGTATATGATTTGAATTGATGCTATTCAAAATTGAACCTCTACCTTGGTGGTTGGTGTTCGCAGTTGGAGAGGGTTGAAAATTAGTATGGTAGTAGTGGTGGTAGGAGGTAATCTATGACAGAATGTGACCGACACACGCTGAGGTCCAACATGTGTTGAAGTTGAAGTTGAGCTAGGTTTTTCCAGACCACGCCGACCATTTTCCGACACACGCCGAGCTGTGTCTCTTCTTTGATACAATAGTCCGCCATACGTTCCCACCAAAAGTGACTCTGGATCCTGCCCTCTTCTCGGCTTCCGCTCGCCCGCACGATAACGCTTATTGTCCCCGCCTCCGCATGGCCCGGTACCCTGGTTCTGCTCATCTCGCTGTCGCCTCATGTGGGGTTTGGAAATAGACTCGCGCACGGTTGCAGCTGTCAAAATAGACTCTCGCACGGCTGCAGCTGTCATAGCTGATCACTTTCTCTCGGTTGCCGACCACGTGATCGTCTCGAGGCGCTCAGGGCAAAGTATAGGGTTATGACTTATGCGCCATCGCGGCAAGGCGACTGGGAATATTGCAGGCCGAGCAAAGGCCGGTTCTGCTGTCGAGAGGTAGACACTCTAGGTAATGTCTTTGTAGTATTCCGGGGATCCCAAGCGGCGCGCTAAAAGGGCCCCAGTGAAAAGGCATACTTCGCTTATTTTTCCGCCCAAGGGCAATGAAATGCGTGTTCTAGTCATTCCAACCTACTCATTAGTTCAGACACCCCCACGCATGGAGTGATCATGGGCCCGAGTTGAGAGGACCCGAGAACCCGTCTTTGTTCCACCGACAATCCGGACGAAAATCCGGGGATGCAGATCCAACATTTAAAAGGCCCAGACTGAGCATGCTGGCTGAACTTCTCTTGTTCTATCTTCTTGCATATTCTCGCGAGTAAAGCAATATTATTACTTCCACGATGACGGTCACCCAGACAGCAACCAACGAGACAGTTGGTACCCAAAGCAATGGCAACAAATGGAACGGGAAGCCATTGAGCCTGAGAATCATCGGGACCAATCAAGGTATGCATGAGTACTCGAAAGTACCGACCCTAACGACAAACTGCTTGAACGCAACTGACCGCGGAACATTGGAACAGGGACGTCGATGGATGGAATTGATATTGTCCGTATCCATTGGACGCAAGAGCACCCAGAAGCACCTTTGAAGATGGAGATTTTGAATCAGGGGGACGTTGAGTTTGACGGAGCTCTGAAAGGTGTGCCATATCACTTTGCGCAGACATAGGTTCTGAGGCTCACGGTAACGACAGAAACGGTCATGCGAATGATCAGATACAATAAAACGACCCCCGAAGAGATATCAATGGTTAATATCCAGGTAATATGTGACTGTCCGTACCTCTCTAAACTAGAAAACTAATGAGCATATATAGCTCGGCGAATTCGCCGCCAAAGCAATCCGCCAGTTCGCTGAGCGAGAAGGTTTTAGTCTTGAAGAAGACGTTGATATCATCGCCGGCCAGGGCCAAACAATCTGGCATCTGCCTCTTCCAGAACTCTTTGAAGGCAATCAGATTCGCGCTCATCTGGACATGTCCGAGATATCCATCATCGCTGCCCGCACTGGCGTTACTACCATGTCCAACTTCCGCGTTTCCGACATGGCTCTTGGCCGCCAAGGTTGCCCGTTCTTCTCGGCCTCTGATTCCCTGGTCGCATCGCATCCCACGTTGAATCGGGCAGTTCAGAATATTGGTGGTATTGCAAATATCACCTTTTGCCCCAAGAACGCGCCGGATGAAGCGTATGATTTTGACGTAGGCCCGGGCAACGTTTTTATTGACGCGTGAGTATATCGTCAACGGCCCATTGCTGCGTCGAGCAGCAATATTCTTTGACACAGAAGGCTTACTGATTTGCTTTCAGTGCGGTTCGCTATTTCACCCAGGGCAAGCGCCAGTACGACAAAGATGGAGCGATGGCCAGAGCCGGCCGCGTGAACCAAGCAATAGTCGAGGAAACCCTCAAAGGCCCGTACTTTGTCCATGATATTCCCAAGACAACTGGCCGCGAAACTTTCGGAGAGAACTGGAGCCAGGAACTCTGTCAACGGATGATGGCTGAAGGCGCAACTCCCGAAGACTGCGTCGCGACCATCACTCGTATCACGGCCCAGGCGCTTGTAGAGGCGTACGCGCGCTGGGGTCCCAAGGAAGGGGTCGATGAGATCTACCTCGGCGGTGGCGGTTCATTTAACCCTGCCATTATTGATTACCTTCGCGAGGAACTCCCCAGAACAAAGATTGCGTTTCTGGATGAATTGGGCGTTCCATGCAGCGCCAGGGAGGCGGCAGACTTCTCGCTCAAGGGCCTCGAACTGGTTCTTGGCAGAGCTTTGATGCCTCCTAAAAGAGCTGAATCAGACAGGATGGGAATTACGGGCCATATGCAGCCGGGGGAAGGGCTGAGGTATCATAAGATACTGAGACATGTCCAAGACTTCTGGGGTGATTACCCGCTGGAGAAAAGGATAAACCCTGTACGCAAGATGATTGTGGTGCCCTATAAGCAGTGATTATCAAGCTCTGTAAGCAGAGATAGCCGAATATGATTTTGTGAAACACTACGCAGCGTGGTCTACAAAGCAAGAACAATCAGCTCAAGATAGTATCCCATCATTCCGTCCGCCGACGAAGATATCCATGCAATTTGTGATCCCAACTCTACCTAGCCAGGATCCCACCATAGACCACAAGACTATATCCTACATTACTGGGTCTCTGGTGAAAAGTAACATGGACGGAGTGAGTAGAATTGGGCTTTGCTCTAAATTGGCTGGAATCCACTCCGAAGGCACTGCCTCGTAGCAAAGTCGCGAACCATCCGTTACCGTTTCTCTGCCTGGGATATGAAAACAACGAAAACAATGAAAGGTCAGCAAGACTGGCCTTACTATAGCCTAGGCATTGCATTCCAAAAGAATGTGGGGGAGGCTACCCCCACTGACCTATATGTAGCCTCCCCCACTCCCCCATATTGCATCTACAGGAGCAGGTCTTCTTGGCAGGGTCCAGACAACGATCCAGAGGGCCTTGCTTTGGATAAATAAAACCCCACGTCAACTCCACGCATTTCGCAAGCCAAATCCCGATACGCGTGGTAAGAAAACGGCAAAACGGCTTGGACATGATTGAGTTCCCGAAAGTAAACGTGGGGGGGCAAGGTCAAATCCCGTACGCGTGCGGACAATTCCAATTTCTCACATAACGTTGCCACCCAAACTCTTAAAGCTCCAAGCTCCAAGCGAATGAGCCCTGTTGACATTTTCAGGCCCGGAATCTAGTCGCCCTTTCCTCTTGACGTATTTCAGGCAGCCAGCACCCCCGACCAAGTTTTTGCATCGTTACAACCTGACTCGTCCCCGAAAGGAACAGGTAGAAGCCATGGGCTCGGGATCAATTCCTAAGACGCAAACTGTAGCGCTCGTTCGCGAGCTCGGCGGCGCCGTTGAGTTCCAAGACGATTATCCCGTTCCTGTACCTGGTCACAATGAAGTGCTAGCCAAGGTCCTCTATTCTGGAGTGTGCCAGAGCGGTGAGTACGATGTCTGAAGCTGGCATGAAAGCGTCTCTTGTTTCAGAGAAGGATAATAACGTCAATAAACAGATCTTCATACTAAGGCCGGAACCGCAGCTGGTGCAGACGGCAATCCCATCACCCAGATCAAGCTCCCTCATGTTGGGGGCCATGAGGGAGTCGGACGTATCGTCGCTCTAGGTCCCGGCTGTGGATCCGATATCAAGGTTGGGGATCTTGTTGGCATCCGCTTCTCAAGTCGTATTTGCCGGCGATGTGAGTTCTGCCTTGCCGGAATGGAGCAGTATTGCTTGAGGAGCACAAACCACCTCCATCATGAGGATGGAAGTTTTCAGGAGTATATTGCACTGGACGGAGACTACCTAACGATTCTGCCCAATGATGTTGATCCAAGCGTGGTTGGACCGGTGCTGTGTGCTGGGGTGACGGCGTATAAGGTGAAGGAACCCAGTGATAACTTGTTACAACTTGATATTGATATGATCTTTTTAGGCTGTTCTTAACGCTAACGTGAGAGCTGGACACTGGCTGGTTGTGGTGGGAGCTGCTGGAGGCCTGGGTCATCTGGCGGGTGAGTCGAAACCGTTGTTTGTTAACCGATATAGCTAATAGTAGGTCTGCTAGTTCAATACGCCCGGGCACAGGGGGCCTTGGTAATTGGTGTGGATGGGCCAGGCAAGCGAGATTTCGTGCTGGGTCTCGGAGCCGAAGAATTCATCGACTTCACCAAAGACGATCCGATCAAACGTGTCCACGACATTACCGGTCTTGGGGCTCATGCTGTTGTAGTGACTGCAGGAAGCGCAAAGGCTTTCGCCCACGCGTGTGAAATGCTACGGATTGAAGGTACTCTAAGTTGTGTGGGAATCCCCCCAGGTCGTCCTTGTCTGGAAACAGCGATTGCGACCATTGTCATTAGGGGCCTGAAGATCACTGGAAGCCTGGTTGGATCATTGAAAGAATGTATGGAGGCTGTTGATCTTGTAAAGCGAGGGATGGTGAAACCGGAGATCAAGGTTCGGCAATTCAAAGAGCTGCCAGCAGTATATGAGGAGATGGAGAAGGGCGATATCTCTGGAAGAATTGTGCTCAAAATCGCTGATCCATAGAGGCTATTTCTTACAGATCCTAGCCTTCTCTAGGCAAGGCCATAATACAAAGCTCTCAGTGGACGATCGTCAAACTCGCTCTCTCCCTGGTCCTGGGATAGCTATAAGTCTCAACAAGCGTAAGGTTCTGGCACTGATCTCGACGGCTTCATATATGTGGCGCAAACATTTCAGAATCATATCAGCATGGCGGGGAGAAAAGTGACAATTGTGTCTTGAGCCCGTTTCTACCCATATTGAGCTGGGAATGTGAGAGTTCTGATGAAAGTAGATAATGACTTTACTAATCATTGTTCAGAATGAACGGTCTTTTTGAAAGGGACTCTTTCGGCTGCGACACATGGTTGGAAAAAGCAGCATGGAGATACTCTTATGCGCTATGCCGCTCTCTCCTGTGATTTCTCTGCTGCATGTTTGGTGAGTCTTCAGCAGATATCGGTTTCCCGCTACGGTCAATACGCAGACGAGAACCACCTCTGATGAACACAGTATGGGTCTTGCGGGAGACGGCGTAACTCTCGGCCAGCTGGTCTTCTTTCTTTCGTTGAAGCGTCAACATCGGTGGCAGCAAGCTTGCGAGCAAAGACCTGCTTCGCAAAGAGGGTGTCCAATTCATCGAAAGTTCTCCCCTTGGTGTTGGGACAGCTGCCCCAAACGAAGCTGTCACTATGGTAAGAAAAGGTTGATTTTGGCGAAAAAGCGGACATACACTGCGGAGCCCTTCAAATTCCAGGCTTCCGGGTTCATAAAGTAGTTCTCAAGAGTGCCACGAATAATGCCCAGGATGATTGAAACATTGCAAGTAAGACAGACAGTCTTCTTTGAGACGCGCTGGCCAAAATGGAATGACGTTCTTCTACTGGCATAATTCTCCCGAATTTTTTCTGGCCTATTGCACCAGATCGTCGGCAGTTTTACGCCAACTTCATAGAAAAGGCACTGCTTCATGCGGCCATGAATGAAAATGATGATAATAATAATGGGATCTTACAAGTCCTGGTGTTCCCTACACTACAGTTGCTCCATCTGTTTGTGAACTTTAGCCATAACTACATTCCATAGATTTAAGGTCATTGTATTGAAGAGCTTAACATAGATCCCCAACATGAGGCATATCCAATGACTACAGTGGACCCAGAAGCTATGGGTGTAATACTAGACCAAATTCTGGTAAGTTCATGACTGCTGCTGGGCTCACTCACGTTCACCAGCTCATGAAGATAGGTGTATTCCCTGATATTAGGAACTTGGATTCTTAGACTTGGTATTAGTTTATAGAGGAGCTCCGCAGTGGCTAGCTGCTTAGCTTCTATAAGTTAAGAAATATGATTACTATTACTTAGCTAAGGTGAAAGAGCAATAACTATATCTGTACTATTTAGGTATATGCCTTCTAAGGAACTAAATAGGCTGAATAGATATTATAATATACTTATAGATTAGCCGTCTATTAGTAGTATTTAACTTCTTTTGGCTCTTTACTTTATTCAGCATCCTGACCAGCACCTTCTCTAACTACCTAACTCCCTTAATTAAGTCCCTTTCATCCTCCCACACGAAGCAAAGTCTCTCAGTAGGGTTGGTGCAGTGCGTGCGACCGTACCGAGGGGGGGTGTGGTGAGATGTAATCATTGTAAAAATACCAAAAGTCCTTTTTATACAAATAGTCCGCCGTACTAGCCGTCTTTCCTTCGCGCATGTTCCCTGTTGTATAGGTGAAGCTTTGCCAGGGTCTTTTGGGACACGCACTACCACCCAACGCCACACTTGATAGCTCAGAATGGAGAGAGTGACCAAAACGACAGACTTTATCCGTAAGCATCAGCGGCGTGTTTGATTTAAGTACCATTTAGTCAGTTGGAACAAAATGAGTGAGGAGGACTCGAATAGAAACTTCCCAACCAGGCGAAGATCCTTAGAGAAAGAAAAGAAGTGAAGTATACTTGACTACTAAGCCTGGTCAAGCTCTCCTTGCAGACCTCTTCGGATCCTGAAGTCTGGCCAGCTCAAGCAAAACCCGATACATATAGATAGTCAGATCCTCCTTGCGAAAGGCCTTGGAGAACCACTCCCGCCCGTTCTCCGCAATCTCCCGGGCTCGTTTCTGCCCAGCCTCAGAGGTGAAATACATAACTATTTCAGGTAGCTCCTCCATGCTCTGACTGACGGGAATGTAATGAACCCACGGCAGCAGACGGTCGTCGTGCCATTCTCGCAGCAGTGTCTGTTTGAGCGGCGCAGACTTCGACGCAAGCAGTTTGTAGTACCGGCCACTGATACCATTGCCGTCGATGTCAAACACCAGACGCGACTGCAAGGCCTCGTCCTTGTCTGCCCATGATTTGGTTCGAAAGAGGGCTTCTTGGTCTCGGCAATAGCGTGTCTCGCATTGGAGAATTCTGGTAAAGGCAACGTCGAATAGTTTGCTGTTGAGGAAGGACGATTTCACTAGGTTGACCACGCCTTTGCCTTCCCGAAGATAAAAATGGTGTCCGTTTCCTAGGTTTTGAGCCAGCTTGACAAATCGCTGTCGGTGGAAGCTTTGCCAATCATCATTCACCGCAAAGCCACCGGTGGTCGAGCCGGCCCAGTAGAGATTGTTGTGTTTGGAGTCCCAGCTGATGTCCTTGGCCTCTACATATTCAAATTCCGGCTCAAGATAGGCAGGGCTGGGATACAAGATGTCTCCCATGGTCGACACCGAGCCGGTGGAGAGTATAGGAACCAAGCCTTCGATTAAGGGAAATGATGTAGGGCTGAGCAAGAGTCCGTGTGATCCACGGTACTCCGGATGGCTGCATATATCTGTTGTCGAGCGACGGTCGGTCAGAAACGGGAGACCAAACGCTTCAACCGTCGGTCTGTCAGCATCCATGCTGCCCTGTGAAGGACAGGACCTGACCAATGTATCCCAGACGGGTCTCTTGGAATAGTTTGTCATGTGAAGTGATCCTGACCTCTCAGAGGATGGCGGTAGCAGTACCCTGGGCTCATCAAGGTGGTTGACAAGAAATTTGACATCCGGTAGAAGGCCGCGCAGATCTGTCAGTACTGCGTTAAGAAATCCTTGGATATTTCTATCGACGCTGCGGTGAGGATGGTTGCAATTCGTTCTGGCTTCCTCAGCCGAGAACATACAAACCCATCCATCACTGTTTGGCGTATGTTGTAAACGGTCGATGGCTTCAGTAACCTCGGTCCCGCTGATACTCCAGAATGGGGAGATTCTATCATAAATGATGTCGAAGTCATCGATGACCACTGATTGATGTGCTTTGGCGAAATTATACCAATTTTCAAAGCCCGGAGGTGGTTCGATGCCGTAGCGGCGGCGGTATTCCTCACAGGCTGCGGTATAACTGTTAGACTGTCTTTCGAGCAAGGATTGAAAATTGGCCTTGGCATCTTGAATGAATAGGTCGATCGGATGCGTGGAGGACTGTATCACTGAGGTGTTTGCAACGTGGATGGAGTAATTGTTGATCAGGTATGGGACTAAATAGACGATAATGCATATCCAGAGGGCAGATCTGGATTTGGCCTTATCCGGTAGAAGGGAGATAACCTGCCATAGGGCAAACAATGATGCGATAAGATGGGACAATGCCTGAATATTCGAGGTCAAGGTGAATGGATTCCTGGTGGCCACAATGCTAAATGTCCCTATGGCCGCAGTCACTGACCAGGAACAATGCTCAGCCTGACACTAGTGAGCATCGACAATAGAATAACGGTGAGAGAACATACTATCTGCAGGAGGAAATACCACATCAACGATTTAGCAACACCTAGCGAGATGGTGCCCCCAACAGGGGTCTTTGGAGGCCCGAACACCGCAATTTCCACGCCGAGTACAGCGAACAGAGTGACCACCACTCGAAATGACAGCGGTCGTATGATATACCCTGTAGCAACGGGTCTACGGTGTGAAGCGCGCTTGCCAGACTTGTGCGGCCGCGTCAAACCGAGGTAAACGACCAGCAGTCCCACCACTGGAATCCCCGACAGCGCACTGGCTCGGAGATCCCAGCTGGCCAGTGTGATTATACAGAGCACAGCAATAAAAGCCGAGACCCACACTCTGTCTTGGCCTGGCGCAGATCTTACCCCCGCATGAATCCCAACATGTTCGGTGTACGTTTGCACTGCAGCCAACAATGGACTCAATGCTGGCTGTAAGATCAACCCGAATTAGCTTCGGGGTCTTCGGCCTTTCAGGATGGAGTCAGCGACTTACAAAGAAAGCAATGATTCCATACTCTGCTTGATAGACAGACGCGGAAGACACTGCCAGAGCAACTGCCCACAAGGATGCACCGGATGCAGGTGTATGCTCTACTGATCCTGGTAATGTTGCCCTTGAGCCGTTGCGAGCCCTTGAACTTCCCCAGTAATGGTGGATGGCCGGCAGAATCGTCCACGAAAGAGCCTCAGACAAGAGTTCACTCTGCTTTATGGACAGATGTTGCTTCAAGAGGCTGCTTGATATCGCGGCACCTGTTAACTTGGTGATAGGATCAATGTGCTCAAATGGCGGTTTCCACATCCTCATAGTCTTAGAGAGCTGTTGCGTAGCTCATACACATGCTCATCATGGTTATCACAGGCAGCAGCCTTGACAACTCCAGAGAAACACTGATGTTGAGATAATCCAGCATGCTGACAAGGAATACTGTCGGTCCATTATTTCCACGCAACAGGGTCCAACAACAGCTGTTTGGGCGTAATGTTGTCTCACAATCCACAGCGGGTATAACCGCCATGGTCAGTTCCTTTCAAGCCACTGATGGTCCGTCCTCTTAGCGTCCGTGTCAATCATCAATTCATCATTCCGGTTGGCCGGTTGAAATTGGGGCTGGAGGTCGCCAGGTAGCTCCAACCAATGGTTCATTTTTCGCATTAGGCTTCCATAAGGTACCGCTACTTACAGGGATCACTTCCATCCACCTGCGACGGACTGGAACTTCTGAGAGAAACAATCCTTGTGTTTTTCGCCGGCATTGCCGGACATGTGACGGAGGTGTAAGCCAAGTAAGACTGTCCCTCTGTAGGGAGTAGTATATTTTCTAATTGACGCACAGAAAATTTTTCTCATCTCTGCTTTGAGGACCCTGTTAAGGCGCCCAACTGGCAGTTAGAGGTACACCAACCACACTCAGAAGGTGAGACACCGGTGCTTTCTTTGTTAAAGGGACAGGTTCACAATCGCCGGCGTGGAAACACTAGTAAATGCTACCTCTTGGCACTCAGGGATTAGAGTCAGAGCTCCGCTGTCATTATGGAGTATCCAGCCGTGCCTAGCCATGTTAATGGAGATCCCTGCTATATGTGAGAATGGGCCATTGACTCTCTCAGCCTTGGTTTGGACAATGATCGGAACCATGCACAACATGAATCCCGTGAAACAAACCTGTGTGCATCATCACAATGGCATACACAAGATGAAGAATGAACTTCCCCAGAGCCAAGTGCTTCGCAACAACGGCCGTATGCACGGGGCCTAAAGGCCTGAGGGCTCATGGCTAGATGAGAAAGAGAACATAGGACAAGTGCCACACCAGACAGGCAACAGCTGCAGATTGTGAACATTACGGTGGAGTCATGTTCTCTCTCGGATCTCTCTGGATACGGTACCTCAAGAGCGAGCGACTAAGTGAATGCTGTCAGACCACCATCTACAGAGATCTAGATGTGATGCCTGTCGGCATGTGTCATTGAAACTGCCTGATATAGGTACATCTGTGTCTTACAAAGAACCTTGAGTGCTCCGCGATGCCAAGGGAAGAAAGTCCGGCGCTCCAGGGCCAAAAGAGCAATAGCATGGAGACTTGACTAAAAGTTCATTATTGACCTGGGAAAAGGCAAAAACCCTGTGAATGCATATCTGGACTGCTCATATGGGCTGGCTACATGACCAATGGGATAAGTAATACATTGCTTCCTTGTTGGTCTTGATCCTTCAGTCATAGTGGATGGGAGGTCCAGGGAACAAGCTACTTTACAGAGTTACGAATGAAGTTGAAGACGCTTTTCCTGGCTTTCGTTACAACACAGTGAATCTCGCAAGCTGCCTGCCGGATGAGTTTGAACAATTCTTCGCCTAGTGACGCCAGAGTGAAGCGGCTCTGGGAGACCAAAAGAACCGCCGTATTCGCCTCGAAAGCGATCATACCAGCAGAATGACTGCACGTATACATACACTAGGGACAAACCCCCTCATTAAAATCATCTGCAGGAGGGGGGACCAACGATGACTTTTGCATCCAACAGTATACAAGGGCTGGATTCGAATCGATACGGTATGCGGAGCTGACTGCAGCGACTCCTTCACGAGAGACCGACTATGATGTCGCATTGTTGCTTCTGACAATGAAGAACGTCGAGCTCAAGCAAGTTCATGACTGACAGGCGAACTGAAGCCCAACATGCTACTCAACGTGAAAGTATAAATAACCCCCATCGGGTCCGCTACTGTTATCGATTCTTCTTCCCATCAACTCAAACCAACGAACCACGATCAAACTTCCAGAAGTTCCTCAACATCTTTAATACCAGTATCAAGATGCAATTTTCCTCCATCGTTACCGTGGCCATTGCTGCCCTCCTGACCGCTCCCTCTCTGGCCTGCAAATGCTACGTGAACGGCAACCGTGACGACGGACGTACCCATTCCTGCTGTGACAGGTTCCGCGGCGTTTTCTGGTATGGCAATGATTGCAAGGCGGGATCCATCTCTGAGCACCTCTCCGACTTTCGCAATTGCTGCGGCGGGTCGTCCGACTGCGACTATCCCGGTTTGGCCTTGGAGGAGACCGAAGTGGATTATGTCAAGACCATCGTTGCTTTCCCTACTGCCGGGGCATCCAACTAGACTCTCCTCAGGTTACTGATGGCCGAGTTTACTCTCGAGTTGGTTTGGGACGTGAACGGTGATTGACTCCCATTCGTTCCTGAACCTCGGAACAAATGGCGTGCTACAACTCACTCGAGATGATTTGCTGCCTTAAAGGAGTCGACGTTCATGTTCGGAAGGGGTAGGTGAGAGGGGGAAAGGATTGCATGCGTTAAACATGTTGGCCACTCTTTACTGTCAGCTTGTGTACATGGACACGTCGGTTCCAATGCACATATATGTAGGCTGATATCGTTGACTTAACCACATTAAATGAAAGAAATGAATGAAGCATTGGACCAGAAAGAGGATGCTTGAACGACTACGTCTGTCCGAGCTTTCCAACCACTTAATATAAGATGTGAAGATTATACAAAGGGTAAGCCTTTGTAGCATGCTGTGGCTCAAACCAAGTCTTGGAAATAAACGTGTACGGCTCTATAGGCAGATAAGTGGACAAAGCTCCTATTGGGTGTGGATGAACGATGTATTCCGATAGCATGCTCTGGTCTGATTGAATGCTGTCTTCTTAATCCATGCTCTCTTTGACTCGCATGCACTCTTCCAAATCCATCACTTTGGACACAATAGCCAGTGAGGACAATTGCTGTATCAGAATCTGCATGGCCAAGGGGGTATGGCAGACTCACCTCAAATCCTGGCCTTGGCCTTTCTATGAGCTGTGCGGCCAGTCTCACAATGACACATCCACAGTTGATTCCCCAGCCAGAACAAAATCCATAGTGAGATACTGCTGCTCAGTGAGACAATCTTCGGGATAACGAACGAGCCATGGTTAACAGACGGCTGTCAAGGCGCCATTAAACATCTGTCATAGTGACGCAACCTTTGGCCTTTATTCAATCATTCAGTCTGCCAGCGCGCATAAATATGATGACCCACGTCTGGGGACGTGGAATCTACCACATGTAGATTTGTGTTTTGACGATGGCGTCAACGCTTACTGCAACTGGGAGTCTTGACAACGAAGAAAAAAGGTAGATCGCTCATATTATTTGGCCAAACAGTACTAAATCGCTGATATTGCAGATTCCTTATTAGTTATCGACTTTTGTCCCGGTGGCAAAGCCAACTAGAATACTTTCTTTTTTATTTTTGCAAAGCTACTGCGCCACAACTGCTAAGTGAAAGTGGTTGGCCTTGTCCCGAGGCTGCCGAGCTTAGCATACTCTCTGAGAAAATCACTGAATACTTTTGCTTTCACCACAAACGCGTCTTCAGTAATCATGGTATATCTGAATGGGAGCGCGAGTCATTCTGTACCAAGTTACAGCAAGTCCGACAAATTCGAAACTGGGCCGTACATCGGGTAACACCGAACACGGGCACAATCAGGAGATATGCAAATATTGCGCTTTCTATCTTGAGGTTTGTACAAAGATTAGGAGGAGAGGATTTCCGAAAGGTCTTCAACGATCCAGTCAGTATAAACCCGTCATACCACACTGAGGCCGAAGCAGAGGGTAACGGATGCCTGAAGTTGAACCAACTCATTCAAACATTTTGGGACATTGAAGCCAACGGACAACGTACGATTTTTGAATTTCCCAGGCACACACTCACCGAGAAGATGGGGCAAACCACAGAACACATTTCCAGGAGGGAGCAGAAAGAAATGAACCTGAAGCGGGCCCTTGAGGATCACAAGCGAGCTGCACAAAGAAAAGCCAATAATACTGCAAAGATGGCTGAAGACTTCGAAGTCGCAAAGAATGCAGAGCAGGCTCGTAGATATCGAGAACAACAAAACTATGAGAAGGCCGTGTTAGGAAAGGCCGAACGAGCCGAAAAGGTCCAGAAACAAGAGGAATCTACAGAGGCCGGGAAAGTCGAAAGAGCCGAAAGAGTCAGGAAACAGGAAGAAGATGCAAAGGCGAAGAGACGTGAAAAAGCCGAAAGAGTCAGGAAACAAGAAGAAGACGCAAAGGCGAAGAGACGTGAAAGAGCCGAAAATTTAGGAAACAGGACGAAAGCTGGGGCCAGTCAGAAATAATATGCGAGGGATTGCCGATGCTATGATAATCGGCGAAATAAAATCTCTAACTGCTCTCAGGTGTCCATCGCAGACTTAGTCTCGACCTTGTATGACCATACCCCGTGTTCACCAAATCCCAAAAGCTAGATTTTCCCAAAGCTTGATACCTGGCAAGAAAGGATATAGTCATGTTAGCTTGAACGTCATAATGCTTTTATCATACTTTCATCCATATGTTCCACCAGTATAACCTAAATATCATGCATCCTTAGCTCATATAGGGCTGTGAGTATGGTATGTTAGGGACTGTTCTCTGTTCTTTATAAAACCATGGTAATATGGATATACTCCTATCCAGTGGTCAGAAAGAGAGAGATCTTTGTCGCAGCATAAAAACTGGTCAGTGAGAAAGGCAGACAAGAACAGCCCTGAGGACGAGGTGATCAAAATTTGAATATGGAGAGGATACAATAGCTCAGCATACAAAAGGATACATAAGGAGACATATATGTTATGGAACAGTGAAGAGTAGTTTATAGTTTAAATGCTTCTATTCACTGCACAAACCTCGCTGTTGCGTATATCATAGAAAGCTTCGTGCTACCCAGTGGTAACTATGTACATGAGCTAACTAAAATCAACCAATAGCCTTTTCAGCTATGATAATGAAGCATGTCAGCACCTTTATATTGATTATCTATAAGGATCATACTACTATAGCTATAGCTGCTTTACTAGCTCGACGGGGTTATAGGAATACTATCAGGGCTTACATTGCGCAGCAAAATAAACCATATATTTATCAATAGAGATCTTAATTGATCTAGTATAACTGTATTACAGTCCAGAATCTACCTAGGAAGACCGATCAAAGCGACCGCCTCTCATGGAACCTCATCGAGGCATATGTATCCTCGTCGCCGACATACGACATGCCCGTTCCTGCATTATTCTGACTTGGTCGCGTAGGAGTTTGGCTCAGAGTCGCGCTTCCCACCGTGACTGTCCGCTCCGACGGATCAGAGTGAAAGTCCTGCATACTCGACGAGACCTGCTCGCGCTCGAGGTACCCCCCCTTGGCGACCTGGATCAACCGCCCGAGAATCGCATACTCGAGCTTGAACTTGATGCTGTACGCCACGGGCTTGAACATCACCTGCACGGCGTAATAGCCCGCATACTCGGTCCCGACGACAGCAAAGTCCAGTATTAGAATCACGATATTGATCACTAGGAGCTGCATCAGGATCTGCCGGTGCCGCGCTTCCGGCGGCCGCAGGCGGAGCATCTTGACTGTTTCGAGGACGTAGATGCTTGAGATAATAATTTCTTGCACCGCGAAGACGATGAGCTGGATCCGCTCCATGACGTTGTACCCTGCTGTGAAGGGCGCCGAGTGCGGAGAGATGGCGCCGAAGAGCAACACAGTGATGGGGACTTGCATGGTGATGGCGTCGACGATGATCATGACTAGAATGGCGCGGAGGATCTTTGGTTTCTGGAGGACGAGGTGCAGGCGTGACCAGAGGATGAGCGAGTGGCCGGTTATCATGACGCACCAGCTTGGGATAATGAGAGAGACGGCGACATAGGGACTGACGGTTGTGGTGAGGAAGAAGAAGAAAAAGAAGCCGAGGGTGTGCGGGATGAGGCTGATGGAGGCGAGGAGGAGGGACCAAAAGTAGCAGCCGTGGTAGCGTTTGAAGGTGGTCAGGCAGAGGACGATGAGCTCGATCGCGTTGTACCAGACCAGGCCGGCAAAAGCCGAGAAGACATATTTCTGCGTCTGGTTGATGTGGATATTCTGCAGGACGAAGCTGTCGAAGTTGTTGTTCGAGGAAGCGGTTGCGGTTGATGTTGGTGGGGTCGATGCCATTGGGAAGAGGCACCCATGTTGGGTGCCTGTCTTGTTTAGATAGTATGATTCAGGGAAGTGGATAGGTGCTCAGGATGACAAGCCGACGCTGGCGATACTGATGGCTCTTATATGACAGGTCACTGTTTCGTCCATTCTGTGCCTTTTCCCTCGGCCGGTGGATTGACTTTGCTAAGGAAACGGAGTAGAGAAAATGCTAGCACCCCATGGGGTATTTGACTTGCCTTCTACCCCAAAAATGCTTCCGCAGGCGAGACCAGATTTGACAAGGAGACCGAGTTCCGTGGGTGTCTTGCAAGTTTAAATGGGAGGCAGTGCTGCATGATAGGAGGACGCGAGGGCGACTGTCGAAATAGATCTGCGTAACCAAGGACAGCTCTGGCTGAAAGTCGGGGGTCTAATCTGTATTCGGTTCTTTTTCGGCGTTGGGCAAATGAATATTGAACTCAAAAAACCAAAATTTGATCATTGGGGAGGCGAGTATGCGAAACCTTGAAAGAAACGGGCGATATAGGACGAAGATCATCCGGAGGATAGACTCGGCGGTGGGGAAGTAATGAAGTCATAGAAACCTTCTGTGGTCTGCTTAATATCCGATTTCTCACATATGGAAATCAATTCCGCAAGGGGGACATGCGATGAACTTGTGCACTGGCCAGTTGTAACCAGTGGATCTGTCAACTGGAGCAGACAGATATGTGATATGTCCTTACAGGGTCTGGATATCCAAGTCAACATAAATTCCTTTGTTTGAATGGATGATCTGTACAAGACGTGTGGCCAGAAGGAGTGGAAGTCAATAGTCTAAATGTCTCTACGTGTGGATTTGATGTAGCAGAGTCCCATTTCGTCGGTTTGACAGAATAGACGGATGAGACCTCTGCAATAATTTATCTACTGGAGTTAAGATATGCAGTGCCGTTCATGTCAAAAAGTGGTTTATGGGGACAATGGAGGTAATAGCCGAATAGTTATATATATTTTCAGTATACCTAGTAGGGATATAGGCAGCATAGATGCAAGATACGTATTACCACAGTAATAGACCAAATCTATTTTACATCTCCAATAAAAAATACACTCATATGTTACTCTCTGTACTAAAATTCATGATAATGACGAGGGCGGGCAAACCGTAACAGTGAGGTCATGCTTCACCCCCGCCCTCACCAACTATGCAGGACGACCGAGTGCGACCCAAGGGTCTTTTCAAACGAGTGACGGCGTAGATTTGGAACCTACACAAAACACATGGGGAACAGTTTCATACGAAACCATGGATACTGACGTCAGAGTGGATCGTGCGATCGGAGCTGCTCGATCGGGGCAGATCGATCGTGGCCAGTCCAATCAACTTTTGATGGAACGATCGCGATGGGAAGTATTAAAGAAACACAAGTACCTCCTATCTCTACTCACGCATGAAGAATGGCCCCCCAGAAACGCAAGACCGCAGGCTCAAGCAGCAATGGCACGACACAAACCAGCAAACGCGGGAAGCTGGACCTGTCGCGTCCGCACCCAAATGCGCAACAGTCCGAGAACTTTGGCATCGTGCTACGAGAATTCTATCCACCTGAAATGAGCAACGCGCGCTGCCAGGCCTACAACGATGGAACGCTGGAACGACCGATCGAGACACTGCAGCGGGCCTACGAGGAGACGGCCGACCAGCGCAGGGGCATCAAGGCCAATAATGCAGTGGTGCACTGGTTCAAGTCTGATCTGCGGCTACATGATAATCGCGCGTTGCAGATGGCATATCAGACCGCCAAGGAACACAATATCCCGCTGATCGGGTTGTATATTCTGTCGCCGCAGGATTTGACGGCTCATCTGTTGAGCCCAGCGCGGGTAGATCTGATCCTGCGTACTCTACATCAATTGAAGCGCGATTTGAGCGAGCTGGATATCCCCTTGTACATGGAGACGCAGCAACTTCGCAAAAACATACCACAGCGGATTATAGATCTGTGTCAGCAATGGGGAGCAAACCATCTCTACGCAAACCTGGAATATGAGGTTGACGAGTTGCGACGCGAGGGGAAGCTGGTGAGGCTGTGCGCGAAGAACGGAATCAAGTTTGAGACAGCCCACGATGCATGCGTCGTTGCCCCTGGACAGGTGGCCAGCCAGCAAGGTAAGCAGTATGCAGTGTATACTCCCTGGTACCGCTCGTGGCTCGCCTATCTGAACGAGAATCGGGACTGTCTGGAACTATCGGAGGAGCCGGGATCGAATCCGGGTGATGCGCGGAAATATTTGAAGGAGTTATTTGACAGCGAGGTTCCAGCAGCACCAGAGAACAAGCAGCTGTCGGAAGAGGAGAAGAAGTACCTTGGTCAACTATATCCAGCAGGTGAGCATGAAGCGCTGCGTCGGTTGGAGGCATTCTTGGAAGAGAAGGTGAAGGACTATGCGGAGGCGCGGAATATGTTGTGTGGACAGACGACCTCAATCCTCAGTCCCTACTTTGCATCTGGCTTGCTCAGCGCGCGAACGGCAATCGAGCAGGCGCGCAGAGCCAACAAGGGTTCACTACAGCATGGTGACCCTGGCCTGGTCCACTGGATCAGTGAGGTGGCCTGGCGAGAGTTCTACAAACATGTCCTCGTGCGATGGCCATTCATTTGGTAAGGCTTCAATCATCGTTTGTCGCAATGTATCTAACATGAGCAGCATGAACAAATGCTTTAAGCCTGAATTTACCAACCTCGAATGGGAGTACGATGAGGCCAAGTTCAACACGTGGTGCGAAGGGAAAACCGGGTTCCCCATAGTGGACGCCGCAATGCGACAGGTGAAACGTGACAAATGGATGCACAACCGGACGCGTATGATTGTTGCCTCTTTTCTCTCGAAGGATCTGCTTATCGACTGGCGCTGCGGCGAGCGATACTTCATGGAGAATCTCATCGATGGAGACTTTGCGTCCAACCACGGTGGGTGGGGATTCGGATCGAGTACAGGTGTGGATCCCCAGCCATACTTTCGAGTCTTCAATCCACTCCGTCAGAGCGAACGGTTCGATCCAGATGGAGAGTATATACGAAAGTGGGTGCCTGAGCTGCGTGATATCAAAGGGCCGGCGATACATGAGCCTTACGCACGAGGAGCGGGGTCTATTGCAGAGAAGAATGGGTATCCACGCCCAATGGTGGATCACTCCGTCAGCAGAGACCTGGCATTGCATCGGTATAAACGGGCATGTGAGAATGGACTATGACAGTGGGTTAGAAGAAGCTTTTTGCGTATTAGTATAATCATTTAATAGGTTAGTAACTAGATGCATCATCTACTTGTCGCTTCCAACGAGTACCTAGCGTCGAAGATTTATGCAACCGAGGAGATTTTCCACCTCTAATATCCAAGGAGTCCCTGATCGTGGACTTATGATTGCCGGTCGCATGTCTCCCCAGCACCGACTAGCCAGGTGGTCTGGCCAACAATTGTGTGCACGGTATGCAAGACAATACCGATCTCAAGAGCATTCACTGAATGTCAATAATATCAGTGGCTCTGAGATAGAGCGGAGCAACTTCGGGGAATCCTCAATTGAAGTTTCGCACTTTCACTTGATGGCCATCCCATTGGATAGAAGGCATGCAGCATGGTTCCTTGGAGTCATGGACGAGTATAATTAAAAAATGGTAGTTAGTACCAACTATCTACCGACTGCTTCCCTGTAGGATCCACTCTGATCCTGGCAGATGAGACAGTCGTTGCAGTACCGAGGGAGGAATGTTATTGAGCTGGACGAGAAAGGATGCTTTAGACGGCAGGTTGCAGATATTTAGATTGCCGTCCACTACGGGCCGGTAGTAAGGAACTGCACACTGGTTCTGAGGATTCGTAGTCCATCCTCGTATTCATCTACTCATTGAACTGACCATGGTCTGGCCGTCGCCAATATACGATTTCCCCACTTTGGACCACTGTGCCAAGAGTGCAGGGGAAAAAAAAAGGGTCAGCCGATGATTCGATGCGGAGTTGCTGTCTGTCTTAGGTGTCTTCCCCGCGATCGGGTCGGCGTCTTCCTAAATTCCTTCATCCAGCTTCAATTCTCTCCAACGAATTCTTCGCATCGTGAATCTCGGGCTATGGATCGTCCTCATCACCAAGGGCTATTCTCATGAACCTCTTCTGTTGACAAGAGGGATTCTGAAGCTCTCACTGCACGCTTCTTTGTGCCTCGGTATCACCTTCACGCATCTCCTGGCGCGGACGTTTTGACCCACCGCTAACTCGTTGTCTTTTGCCTTGCTCTCTTAGGCAAACTTACCCCCACTCGCGTTATTCTACTCAATGTCGGTCTGAAATGGATCCTGCCCAGCCGGGGGATGCACAGCCTACTAGCACAAACACCGCAGGAACGCTGGAAGATTCGTCCAACGCCGAAAAGCGTCGATGGAGGAGAAACCGTATCGCCTGCGACTCATGCCATTCGCGCCGCGTGCGATGCGACCGGGCTTTTCCCTGTTCGCGCTGTCTTCGCAGTGAGATCCATTGCGAATTTACGCGCGAAAGACGGAAACGAGGGCGGATTGCACGGTCGAAACAGACGGCCGCAGTCACGAACGGCAGGTCGATGGAGAAGCTGTCCAAGGCCGCTAACGGGCAGCCTCCCGTGCCAGCACCGGTGCCAGCAGATACGGCGCCAACGCCAGTGCCGAACCATGCCTCGCCGACCACGACCTTCCAGCATCGGTCGCCGGCGACGAACGAGGTGACGGTTTCCGCCCATAGTATAGACGATCGACGCTCCCAGGCTGATCCGTCCTTACCGGCGCAAAGACCGGGACCAAATGGGAATGTGACGGAGGAGTGGCTGTCCGCGGCCCATGTGTCTCCAGATTCATACGAAGTATTGGGGGGAGGGGGCTGGGGGGATGGTCCGCTGCCACGGGTGCTGGACATCTGGAACGGCGTGGACCTGGCCGGGTACAGTGCTCCAACCGTCCAGGGCTCCAAGCCTGCCGGTGCGGCTCGGACAGCCAGTATTTCGTCCAAAACCTTGAAATATCCGGTACTACAGCCGCTCATGCCGTTTCTCGAGGCGAATCTACCGCGGAGGCTGGTTTTTGACCTCCTCGAGTTATACTTTACGAGCGCCTTTTCTACGCATATGCACCCTGTGTGCCACCACATTCATTGCTATGTCCTTCGCAAGGCCTCATTCCTGAGCCGGGAGAATCCTCGACCCAGTAGCCCGGCTCTCCTGGCAAGCATGCTCTGGGTTGCTGCCCTGGATGACCGCGCGTTTGCGCTCTCCATTTCACCGCCTCAGCGCAAGAAGATCTGCCAGTTTCTGTGCGCCTTGACCATTCGATTACTTCGACCATTGATTCACGTGTCGTTTAAGGAGCAAGGGGGTTCGAACGCGAATGATCCGACCTTGACTGCGGTCGCTCCAGACTGTCCTCCCACGACCGTGCACCATCCGTTTGAATCGAGCGGCGATGATCGCGGTCTAGTCGGGCCTGCCGGTTCCTTGGATGATGTGATTACCTATATCCACGTTGCTTCGATAATTTCGTCTAGTGAACAAAAGGCCGCTAGCATGCGATGGTTTGTTTGTCAACTTTTCCCGGGCTGAGTCTGAAGACTGACTAGTCCAGGTGGCATGCTGCCTTTACCCTTGCCAGAGAATTGAAACTCAACCAAGAAATCGAAGTGATACCCAACGCGGATGGCCAAACCGAAGGCTCGAGTCCAGCATTTGACTACTCCCTGCCCGGCTGGAGCGGCGTCGACACTGGCGCATTCTTCGATTACTCGAATCCCACGCGACCCAGCTTGAACTGCGTTTGCGACCGGAGCCATGACCCCCATGCGACTATCACCGAAGAGCACCGGGAAGAACGTCGCCGGACGTGGTGGCTGCTATACATTATGGATCGCCACCTGGCCCTGTGTTACAATCGACCGCTGGCATTGCTGGATGCCGAGAGCGAAGATCTGCTGCTACCGCTGGACGAGGGCTCGTGGCAGGCCGGCAACGTGCACAGCAACAGCCCCAGGCCGGACGGACCCCATTGCCCGATCTCCGGAGACAAGAACAAGCGCCGGGTTTTTCCTGACTTCATCTGCCATGATCATTCGATTTTTGGCTTCTTCTTACCTCTGATGACCATCACGGGCGAACTGATCGATCTAAACCAGGCACGGAACCATCCCATGCTTGGGTCCCGACTACAAGGGAAGGACGGCTGGGACGCCCATCTCAGCGAGGTGCTGCGGCAGCTCGAAATTTACAAGGCGAGTCTGACCACTTTTGCAGCGACCACGGCGGTCCCTGAAGCGCCGCTCTCCACCACCTTTCCTCCCTCCACACCCGAACATCCTGGTGAACCGTCTCTTTCCCAAGCGTTCTCGTGGCATACCCAGACCGTCATCGCGTACGCCTCATACCTGGTACATGTATTGCACATTCTCCTTGTCGGCAAATGGGATCCCGTCTCGCTCATCGAGGACAAGGACTTTTGGACCTCGTCCCCTGCCTTTGCCACTACCATCTCGCATGCGTTGGATGCGGCCGACTCGGTCAACCAGATTCTCCGCTATGACCCGGACGTCAGCTTCATGCCCTATTTCTTTGGCATTCAGCTCCTACAAGGCAGTTTTCTTCTCCTGTTGATTGTGGAGCGACTACAAAAAGAGGCGGGAGAGGGCATCCTCAACGCGTGCGAGGTGATGATCCGCGCGACGGAATCCTGCGTCGTCACCCTCAACACCGAATATCAGCGAAATTTCCGCCAAGTGATGCGGAGTGCGGTTGCACAGGCGCGGGGACGTCCCGTGAACCACAGCGAGATCCGGCACCGGCGCAAGGCCGTTCTGGCACTGTACCGGTGGACGAGAAAAGGTACCGGGTTGGCACTCTAATTTTAGCCCGAGTTCCCCAGACTCCACTGTCGCGAAGGAGCCCTACGGAGAATTAACCGGAGGTTCGCCGTCCAGTTTGCCTTGACTGGCTGCGCTAGGGTTGATCGGCAGTGAGTTCTGCCTCAGCCCTGAATGGCTTAAAACAGATCTTGGAGTATCTGCAGGCACAGGAGCCACAGGCTCCACTAGTTTACTGGCGAGTCAGTTCGCTAGTCGAGGTTCGCCGTTGGTTTTAACGAACTGCCGTCGGTACATGAGGTGCCAGGCACTTCAATCTATGCCCAATGCATAGCAATACTCTGTAATCGAATATACAATGAATATAACACAGTTCACCCGTACTACTCAGCATAGTAAACTCCGCGCATAACTACTAGGATAAACTCTCGCTTGAACTGACTCTGCAGCAAACACCCATGTAACAACTCCATCTCGGAAAATATAGACCTGGTCACGGTTGAATATGGAAGTTTACCCCAGACACTCGGCTAGGGTGGCCGCCCCCGGACCGAGCAGTTGAGGAGTCTCGGGTAAAAAAGAATCAACCGAAGGGCCCAATTAACCGAAGCGGAGAAGCTGACCAGTTGGTGCTAGTGCGCCAGCCCAGGCCCAGGGCTACAAGGCACGAGACCCGAGACCAGGCTAGCAGACGGATTATTTTGACTTTCAAAGTCGGCCCATGATTGTCTGATTGTCTCTCGTCTAGCCGTTGGCCCTGTTCGAAATCCGGGGAAGCAGCTCGGTTAATTGATCCTGCTCCACGCACATGGCAAGGTGATGGTCCTATAGTTTATTCCAAGGAGAAGGGAGGTGGTCATTGGGTCGTCGAGCTTGAAAGCTCCGTGTCGATTCTGTCGATAAAGTGCACTCGCTTCGATGTATTTTGCCGAGTTGGGCAATCTTGCTGCCGATGATTGTGCCTGGATGCATTTTGGCGAGCTTCCCCATACCCCATAATGGATCCTTTGCGCCTGCCTCGGAGTATGCTCCTTAGCTTGGTGATGTTTTTTTTTTGCCGGTCGATAGATTCAGTTCAGCTTTATTAAGGGCGTGGTCCCCGTCTTGGTCTTTCCAGTATCCCGCTGCTGAATTCTATAAACTGAGGAGTCTGCACTATACACTACACACTACACCAGTAGAAGGATAACAGTCACTACTATTGCTTCTACTGCTACAACACTGGGATGCGGTGACGCTACTCGGACAGTTGACCATACACACTCGACGACAGAGCTAGACAACATGACCGACCTCCCCTACGACTACACAAGTTGGCAATTCCTCGATGCAATCGGACAAGCATCGCCTCTGCAACAGGAACTGCAGCCCGAGGAGGCCATGAGTCTTGCCTTTGAGTTCCCTTCTCATGGCCGCGGCGAGAGCGACTTTGCGTTGCTTAGCTCGGATAATTGCCTGCCGTACGGACAAACTTCGGCGAAGGCAGCACCAGCAACCGGGTTTATGCAGACGCAGACGCATACACCGCCAATTGACATGGGACTGGGAATCGACATCGATATGGACATGGAGACGTTTGCACAGGGCATGGATTTCATTTCAGTGTGAGTCTTCACGCTTCGGTCCTGTAGAGCAACCTGAACTCATAATAATAATCATGACAGACCTCCCTTCCCCGATCTCACTCTCGGCCACGGGAAAAAGACTCCCGACCGTCTCTCGCTCCTCCGCTCCACATCCCAAAATGCAACCGAACGAGCGTTGTTTATGACTCCATCCGGCATCACCTCGCCTTCATCCTCGTCATTCTCATCAACTTCGTCCTCGTCCTCGTCAAACCGGAACTCTTCCTCTCCATCACTAGACCCATGCACCCCCAGCACAACGAGCACAACCAGCAAGGAAAGCGACGAAGACTGGGACTGGGACTGCGACCGCGAACTGGATCCCTCGCTCGGCATGCATTTCTACAAATTGCCCGATAGGCTCGACGCCTTCCAATCAGTCCCCCACCCGCCCCGCCACGTGCATCCTCCTCCTCCTCACCATTACCCTCACCCGCAGACTCACCGGGTAAATAATAATAATACGCACCGGGAGGAAGACGAGGCAGACGCGCTAACACCCCTCGAAATGCCCGACGGCAGTACCCGCTTCACGGCGAATTGGCTACCCGTTGATCCCACAGGTGGATTCACCATTGATTCCCCGTCAGTGTCTGCATCTGCGTCTGCGATGGAATTCGGCTATCCGTCGGGGCATGGCTATGGACACCCAGATCACGCGTACGGGTATGGCTATGGAGACCCCATCTCGATGGAATTCAGCAAGGAGGCGTTTATCCAGATGCCAGCGCCGGTGTGAGTAGCAAGTCACAGGATGCTGCTGCTGCAGCTGCTGCAGCACTTGGTGTTCACTACTACTACTACTCCTATTTTGGAGATCTACCTACCCCTTTTAAGGGGACACATGGGGACACGGGCAAGATTGCCCGCCGGCCTCGGCCAGGTCAGCTGGAATTTGACTCCAGCGGCCAACAACCGGCACCGCGACGCCGACTCCGCTTCGCTCAGGTGCTTGCTCTCTCGATGAGACGAGATAGATCGAGTGTCGATGATGTGACACGCATCGGAGAGTGCTCACAAATGCACGGGGCGTCGCGAGAGAAAAAGGACAGTGCGACTTGTATATAACAATCAACAGTACATACATATATGATGTAAATAAGAAAATTATGAATGATGATATCTAATGCCGACCAGTAGACTGCCAATTGACAAAGCTGCTATGATATCAAATTAACCCCTAACCGAAGACGAGGCGCACTGGTTTGCAAAAACCGCAAAATTAAACTTGTCCGCGATATGCCGAAACACCTCGGTGACAAAGTGCTTCTCGACCATGCCATCCGCAAACGCATCAAACGCCGTCCGCAACACAAACATCGTCCGCGACACGAGACACCCGGGGATCGTCTCGACGTAGTACTTCATGCTGCGGCAGATGTTGCACGCATATTGGTACCGCTCCTGCAGCCCCAGCACGCTCATCAGCCCGCTGTCCGTAGTCGAGACTATCAGATGCAGCGCCCAGTAGTAGGTCATGCAGGTGGCGGAGAGCAGGTCCGGGTACACGAGCAGCTTGGCCGGCACCAGGTCCATGGTCGCCGGGTCCCGGCACATGAATGTCGGGAAGCTGGGCATAGCGTCGTTCTCGATTTCGGTTTCGGTTTCGATTTCGGGCTTGCTCGCTGGATCCGGTGCGGGCTCCTCCCATGCTCGGCCGGGCGGGTATGTGTCCGCGAACATGCTCTTCCACAGGTTCAAGCGCGACTGTAGTTCTGTCGCGCGGTCCCAGATCGCCGTCTGTTGCGCGACGAGCTCGGTCGACGAGGCGGTGCCGGACCGTAGGGCCGCGGCGAAGTCGTCGATCTGCCCGAGGTACGCGGGGATATCCACGGCGATGTCCAACAGTCGGTGGAGGATATCCTTGGATGGAGCGTCTCCTGGCCATGGGACCGTAAGCCACTCCTTGCTTGCGAGGAAGGTGGGCTTGCGCCGGACGAGCGCCGCAGTAACCTGGCCAACGTTAGCACGGCCCTGAAATTGGGAGAGAGAGCGCATGACATGACCTACCCAGTATAAGCGGAGATCAACGTAAAGCGACCGATCTATCCCGTACCGGTGTCGGTACGGCGTCCGCGCTTGCAGCAGTTGCAGTCCGCCGAGTTGATGCTTCAACAAGGAATCTCTGGAGCTTTGTTTGAAGGCCTGCAACCGTCAGTAGAGTCGGAGGCGTTGCGACACGGGCCAACGCAACGTACCTCGATGATAGTGAAGAGTAATACAACAACCATCACTTCCGTCGACTTGTTCTGTTTGGGATCGTTCAGCGCATTTTGCAGCTGTCGGAGCACCCGGACGTAGCGCGCATGTCCTGCGGCTTCCACCTCGCGGAGCTGCTCCCGTTTACCGGCAAATGTCAGAGAGGCAGCCTCGAATGCCGTGCACAACATCGGCGACAGAACTCGCATCCCAGACGCCTCGCGCAGAGCAATGGTACCGCCGTAGAGGGCGGCTGGCTGCGGGCTGAAATTGTCAATGAGTCGCTCGACGAAGAGTTCCACGAACGAACTGGCAACGGCTGGGTCGGTCAGGATCCGTTTGTCTTCACTGAGCGATCGAGACGTTTGATCTGTAGTCTGTGGTATATTGGTGTGTTTAGAGACTAGTGCATCTGTTGGGTCGGTCGGTTTTCTGATTAACGAGGAATCTTGGGACTCCGGGTCTTGCGGCTCTTCCTCCGCGTCCACCGTCTTCTCGAGGTCATGTGGGAATGGATCCTCGTGCTTGATCGGCGGAAGATTGGCCAACGCTCGCGCTTCGGCCAGTTGCTTCTTCAGGTCCTCGCATGTCTGCGTCAGACTCTCGATCAGAGCGGACTGCTCGATGTAGTGGCGATCTCGCTTGCTGGTGCCATATTCACACTCGGACGGAGTTCCCCGAAGACAGCAGGCACCGCATGGCTTCACTCTGTCACACTGGAAGACCGTCAGCTAGGCTTTCGCCTTGTATTCTGCGACTATGATACCTTGACTTTGCGTTTGTGACAGTTTAGGCATGAATAGGTGGGTCGGGTCTTCTTTCGTGCGCCCGCTTTGGCGGTCGCCGCTGAAGCGGGGAGACCTTTCTGCGGGTCACTTTGAGATTCGCTCATTGCTAGATGACGGAGTTGGCCAAGCTTGACTGATTCGAGGTATCCATACTCAGTCTTCAGGAGCACAAGGACTGTAGGGAGCAGCGGAGTTGGTGCGAGTGTACAACGTCAGGGACCAGACCAGACAAACCCGTGTTAGATAACGCTATTATTGTTGGGGACCACAGTGGAGACTCCCAAGGTCACTACTGCCACTAACATCGGGGCCCCAGATCCCGCCGCCGGTCGGCCGCTTTCTCTGGCTTTATTGTCCAGCCACTTTCGTATTGTAACCTTATATCTCTCAAGTTCAAATCGACTTGACCTTGGTCGATAATATAATCAAAGGGAGGTACTCCGTGGATGAGTCGAGCAGTCAAGGAGGGTGGAGCTGCACCGGGACTCGCAATTCACATCAGATGCCTGAGGCCACCCCTGCTTGATGGCCCTTTCGAGGCAGCTGCAGCTCGAGTCTCGCAGATGACTGATGGTGTGCATTAGAAGTGACGACGGTTAGTTCTACAAAAGTGGCGTGCGGAAATCTCGGTCTAGAGGCCACGCCAAGGATAAGGTTAGCAAATAGCCATCATGCGATCTGCTGGACGTTGGAGGAAAGAAAAGGGGCAATCAATATGTAGGTGGGTCGATTTGGGGCCGAGATGACCGGCAGGATGCATTTCCGTAACTTATCCATAAGACACGAACCAGCTCGGATAATGGCGTTGTCAGTGTCAGGCAACATGCAGCGATCGACCATGGCAATTCCTGTTTGGGTTACATCATCAAAGATTGGGAGGTAACTACTGTATTTGTCAGCATTTATATGTTGACTGGATATTGGGGTATGCACTTTTAATTCATAGTCGCCAATATTCCGGCTGTAGCCGCTCGCTATAAGCTAATGAAACATCCATGCATGTCGTATGGTGACTCCAACTTGTTGTCATCAACGACTTTCCAATAGTGGCCAAGGATCTCCCAACTCGTACTTTTGTCGAGTTCATCGCTTGCCGACGTTGCCGTCCACCTGCGTCCGCGGGAGGCGATCGCCGGCAATCAACCAGGTCGATAGGCCACATTCAATCGTCCACTCTGGAATGAAGGGTGGGTATGTAGAGCCTGAAGAGTCATTTGTGGCTGAAGGAGGGCGTCAGGTATATTATATTGTTGATTGTTGTACATATTCGACTCAATATCAGTTTAAAGCAGTGTCTCATCGCGCTGAGGAACAAATCCTTAGCACTCCCTGTGTCTCAACGGTGTCCTTGCTGTATGGACAATAAACAACAGGCCAGAAGCTTCTAGCGTCGTGTAATGGATAAAATCGGCCCGTGTCTCTTGAATAATGGATTCTGGGAGCTACAAATATCACGCATGCCGCGAGGGACTATCTGGGACAGTCACGGGTTCAACACCTGTCCATAGCATTCAACCATGCTGAATGAGTTACTGCACTTTCGAAAGTGTTGTAGCCACTCCTGATGCTCACTCCACTACGAGGTTGGATACGTCAGATTGATTACCCGGAGACCAGACGCGACTATCATTTGATCACACTGTATGCTTAACATTTACTCATACAGATGCGAGTGGGGGGAGACTAGTTCCAAATGACGCTCGACGCCATATTTTCACATACAAGTGTCTTTCGCTTGATATGCCCCGCGGTGCACCAGTGCCTAGAGACAAATACAGGAAAAGAAAGATGGAAGAACGCTGTGCTCTTGCTGCGTAGGAACCTCCGAAGGTGAACCAGTTGACACTGTAGTCGGCCGCACGACGTTTTTCGAAGACCATGCAGGCTCACGAGGCTGGTCGAACGAGCCGGGAATATCATCCCGGATGTCATCTCTTGACCTAAACAAAGGAGGATGGAATAGCACACAAAGTTGACGATGCCAACACACCGAACTTGCCAACGCCAGCATGAGCCACAAGATACAAGGCAACCTCGCTTGTGGCCATAACCGTGATCTCACCGTCGCACCCGGCTAGCGGGAGAGAACCGACTCATCAGCCGCCGACAGCTCGCCCGAGTTGACAAGGGTTACTGCCCGATCCGGCAATTTGGAAGTCGAGCAGCGGTTGGAGTCAGGACATTCCAGATTGATTCGCATGACATCCATTGAGTACCGGCCGGATTGAGTATTTGAGACATCAATGCGTAACTACACGGTCCGGATGTTGCGATCGACCATTCCGGCTTGAATATCGACTGACGACGTCCTGTTGTCTCGGAAGCCTATTCAAGCACTTAGACGTGCATGAAGTGCACAAGGGACGACCAACTAAAAAATATGTATCCGAGCAGGGTGAATGACAACGATACTTGACCGTCGATTGAGGATCTGATGTCTCCATTATTTGTAATGGGTCTAACAAGGTCCTCAGTATCTCGCTGGGATGACCTCAGACCTACTGCTGTCACAACCATGAAGACAGGCTATCGCTTAGGGATACACTTCTTCTTCGGCTTGCCCCACAAGAGCTAGAGTTAGCCGACAAGTTTGTGGACCATCTACCGTATCCCATTGATCAGGTGAAGGACCTTGGCAGGTAGATTGAATCAGTGCAACCTCAAGGTACCCAGAGTGCCGTATAAATGAGAAATATTTTCAGCACATTGATGCTAAATTATTGAACAACATGTCCAGCTTCAACCCCTCCAACGTTGACCTCAACACTGCCAGCAAAGAGGATATCATCTGCTACCTCTCGCTGTCGGAAAATGAGTACAACGGCCACCTCGCCGCGCGCATATCCTCCATCTTTGTCATCTTTGTCACGTCTACCGCATTTACCCTGTTTCCCGTGGTTGCTCAGCGACTCCCCCGGTGGCGTATCCCCCGTCATGTGTACCTGTTTGCGCGATACTTTGGGACGGGGGTCATCGTGGCCACTGCGTTCATCCACCTGCTGGACCCCGCATACCAGAGGATCGGACCAGGGACATGTATCGGCATGTCTGGCGTCTGGGGCGAGTACTCTTGGTGCGCGGCGATTGTCCTCTCATCCGTCATCCTGATCTTTCTCATGGATGTCGGCGCCGAGGTTTACGTCGAGTGGAAGTACAACGTGCAGCGAGAGGCAAATGCCACCGCAGCGTTCATCACCCAGCCAGCATGCTCCAGTCCGCACGCATCATCGGACAGGCTTACTGCCAGGGAGATGCCATCCCCAGCAAGAATCAAGGATATCTATCCTCACGCAGACGAAGTCTCCGTAACCTCCGAACGGGCCTTCCGCCAGGACATCGCCGCCTTCCTGATCCTTGAATTCGGCATCATCTTCCATTCCGTCATCATCGGTCTCAACCTCGGCGTGGCGGGCGACGAATTCGCAACGCTCTACCCCGTCCTAGTCTTCCACCAGTCCTTTGAAGGGCTGGGGATCGGAGCTCGCATGTCGGCGCTCCATTTCGGCAAACGCCGCTGGCTGCCTTGGGTTCTCTGTCTGGCGTACGGACTTACCACGCCAGTTGCCATTGCTATCGGGCTCGGTGTGCGCACTTTGTATAACCCAGGCTCGAAGGCGGCCCTGACCGTGCAGGGGGTGCTAGACGCTATATCGGCGGGAATTCTCATATACAGTGGGTTGGTGGAGTTGCTCGCCCGAGACTTTTTGTTTGATCCGTGTCGGACAAAAAGACGGGGGCAGATTCTGTACATGCTGGGATGTACACTCCTGGGAGCTGGAATTATGGCGTTGGTAGGCAAATGGGCTTAATGACCGTTTGCCAAATTGCACCAAAGCCAGCTAGACGCTAGATTTTCTCTGCTTTTGTCACTCCTTCCCAAGACATGGGCGGGACTCCTTTGAAGATGTCAACTCAATTTGCTCCCTCTGCCACTAGATAGATTTAGACAGAATGAAGGGTGACAGCGGTCAGCAGCCGCTCCACAGCGGAGCAACAGTAGCTGTCCTTTAGTGGTATCAACCTGATCATTTTAGCTCAATATCGCCAAGAGGTAGAGAAATGGAAACTCGCGAAAGAAAGAAAAAGCCTCTCGTGGAACAAAGTCGTCTGTGTACTGACAGGCTTCATACTTTTGTCCAACAGGCCCACAGTGGACTCGGGAGGGATAAAAACCTACAATTTGCTCGTCTTAAGGCTTAGGCGTTTAAACCGTGGCTATTCATACAAGCTGAGTATCTTAGCCTGTCTTAATCGGCGTAGTGCATCTCTAAGGCGTGTATAGATTCTATACATAGCACAAGCCTCAGCGTGGGGGCTGAACGTCCTTTATCTTTGCGCCGCTGCACTAGCTGTCCTTGCTAACACTAAACCCACGCAGCAAAAATCTCTCGTTAGTGTGGATCTTATGTTCAAATAAGACAAGGTCAACGGTCTCAGCGATGCTATATTCGACCCTTTGCCAAAAGAAGACCAGATATTCAGAGTCAAGTGCCTTAAGGTTGCCCAACGCCTATTCTCTCGTAGAATCCCCTCCTTAATGTGCCGATGATAACATTTTGACATCCTGAAGCGACCGCTTCTTCTTTGCCTTCCTGCGCGGCAATCTTACCTTCTTCGACGATGACATGAGTCCGGAATGTAACGATTATTCCTGGGTGTATTGGTCGTGGACCGAGCAGCCCCGCCTCACCCAGGCACTCCGCGAGGAGCAGAATGATAAGACCCGCAAGGTCAACGAGGTCATCAAAGCGGCAGCTAGAGACCTCGAGACAATGGGCGTTATGCATGTAGAAGGCCTCCAAGACGCTTACAAGGGCCACCGGTACTGTGAAGCGGGGGCCACCAAGGAACAGACGGAATACAAGGTGTGATTCTGGTCGCCGTACGCTCACAGCAACACGCCTTCTGAAGGCCCCGGCGACCCCTGACGGTTGGACGGGCGATGACGAGGGTTTCTTACGTTCAGGTGCGATGGCTATGGATTGTCTTACCTGCTCTGGTTTGGGTTTTGGGGCCCGGAACGTTGGCTGGGACGGTTGGGAAAACTCGACGAGCACAGGTTCCCAAATGGAAGAATGATCCGATTCCGTTGCTGTTTCTGCATCAGGATGGAGGTGAAAAGCGAGGTGTAAGCCTGACCAAGGCAGACGTGGGTATGCGTCTATATGAAGATGACAAGACCATGCTGTTGACCAGTACATAGACACTTCATAACAGAAGACTTTCGGGAGACGCAGATCAATTGCAGACACTGAAACAGTCTATCAGAGCGATCTTGGAGAAAGTTGATTCGGTTCGCCATTCCGAAACGGGGAGATCAACAAACCAGCGGGACGGACACGTTTCTATTGATGGACGATCCTTACTGAATTCTTCAGCCTTTATTCCAAGCTTTGCTTGCATGTAAGTCATGAAGGTGAGACATTACTGAATGCCATACCAATTAGCCGAACACTTGGCCCATTTAGAAGATAATCCTTCGCCAGGATATACACCAAGTGACCAAAGAGTCACCCACGTGGACGGTTTGTAGCTTCGGTTCAATATAGAAGCACTCTTAGCGACGAGCTGCCAAGTCTGCTAGCCCAGAACAACCCAATGACTACCGCAACACCTGCAGAATTAAATTAATTGTCCTCAGTTTAGGCCTGCTAGCGTCTGGCATTGTCGTCAGCGGGGTGTGGACAAGGTATAAATCTCAGCGAATATCTGCAAGTTCTCAAATGCACTTCCTCAGCTCAATTTACCCGACTATACGAGAGTCAATTAGCAATCGCAATGCGGTCTTTTCTTCTTCTCCTCGGAGCGGGCATTCCAGCCCTGGCTGCCACAGCTGGCGAGTTCAACGTGCTCTCGTTCAATGTTGCAGGTCTGCCCCCCATCCTGAACGGCAACGACGTCCCAGGCGACAAGACCGAAAACTCTCGTCAGATCGGTAAGAAATTCGCCGAGTACGGATACGACGTCATCCATGTGCAGGAGGTCAGTCTGTCTATTCTACCTGTGAATGTAACTGACAAAAGCAGGACTTCAACTACCACGCGTACATCTACGAAACCGACAACCATCCCTACCGCACTCCCACCTCTGGCGGCGCGGCGATCGGCTCTGGCCTGAATACGCTGTCCAACTTCCAGTTTACCAACTTTGTGCGGACCAAGTGGGGAACGTGCTCTAATGCCGAGGGGGCAGACTGTCTGACGCCCAAGGGCTTCACCTCAATGCGGGTGCGCGTCGACGAGGGCGTATATGTGGATTTTTACAATCTCCACGCTGACGCTGGGTATTTCTCTTCCTTTCAGTTCTGTCGCCTAAGCTGACCATGAACAGATCCAATGCCGACGATGTGAAGGCTCGCAGCGCCAATCTGCAGCAGCTGGCCGATTACATCAAGGTCAACTCGGTCGGCAATGCTGTGGTGGTGTTTGGCGACACCAATGCGCGGTATACCTCGGCCGGCGAGAATATCCGTGTCTTCCAGACGGAGAATGGCATGGTCAACCCCTGGGTTACGCTGGTTCTCAAGGGAGCCGAGCCAGTCCAGGGGAGCAGTGCGTTGCTCTGCCAGAATCCTAGCACGACCAACACCTGTGAAACTGTTGATAAGATTTTGTATGTATCTTGGGCCGTTGTGACTGCAATGCTGACGGAAATAGCTACCGGGGGAGCCGTGCCGTTGATCTGAAGGCCATCTTCTGGAACTACGAGAGCAACAAGTTCCTAAGCAACAACGGCACGATCCTGTCCGACCACAATCCAGTCACGACCAACTTCACCTGGACCATGTCCAATTCTTTCCGCCAGAGTGACCTCTTCGGTGGACCGCATGGGTAAGCCCGCATCTACCATAAGTCAATGCTGCCAGCTAATAAAGTAGAACCTGGTTCAACGACCTCGACTCCCTCCCCGGCACCTCCACCGGCCAGAACAAACCAAGCAAGATCTCCCTGCGCGGTGCGGAGCGGCTTGATAGTGTCGGTCTCACCTTGACCTCGGGCAAGAGCTACACCCACGGTGGCACGGGAGGCGCGCTCTCGGAACTCACCCTCGCGGCGAACGAGTACTGGACCAAGGCGAAGCTGTGCCAGGGGCAGTACAGCGGCCACACGCGCAACTTCTACCTGCTGGCCACGACGAGCACCGGACGCACGGTGAGTGCGGGAACGGCGACGTCCGATTGCCAGGAGTTTGCGGCTGCGCAGGGACGGCAGATTGTGGGCTTCTACGGCCAGGATGGGGATGAGATTGATCAGCTAGGATTTATCTACGGGTTGATTTAGCCGTCTGCCATACCGTTGGGATATGCAGAGATATTAGCTAGAGCATGTGGAGGGATATTCAAGAACAGAGAGGCCGATAATGCCATGGTCTATACCGGCTCCAAAGAAACATACCATTCACCTCGTACCCCCGTCTAATGAACTGTCAAGACGTCTAATCAGTGCCTGGCAGCGGAATCCCCGCGCGCACCATAATCTCCTCAATAGCGTTCTCCTTTCGAAAGTTATACTCCTGTACCGACTCTCCGTTCTCACGACTCTGCTTCGCCGCATCCCGCTTGGCCCTGACATACAACTCCCGATCCTCCGGATGCGCAATCAGCCACTCCCGGAACTGCTGATGGCGGCTCAGCTCTGTCGCCCCCGGCCCAAACACATGGAGATTAGCATACGGCTCCGCCAGCCAAAAGAAGCGATGCTGGTACCAGTTCGGCTCGCGGAAGAGGAACTGGAACCCGGCGGCCTGGAGCGCAGGGACGTAGTCGTCTTCGGCGGTGGGGTCCGGGACGACGAGGTCGACGTCAATGATAGCTTTGGCGGGCAGGCCAGGGACACTGGTTGAGCCGACGTGATTGACAGTAAGTGCTTTTGGGCCGAGGGCGGATTTGATGCGCTCTGCGATGGAGGCGAAGGCTGTTGGCCAGGAGGGGTCGTAGTCGACTATTTCGATGGGTATCTGGGGGCGGGTGGAGATGATTTCGAGGTAGTGGCGGTCGGACTTGTCTGTGGACATTTTGTCGATCGGATAGATATCTGGTGGTTGGATTAGAGTGAAAGAAGGTCGTAGGCTTATGTAGGCTGGCTGTGTGTCATGAAGCTAACCGGTTGAGGCTACATTGCGAATACGAGGTTGCGTAGCCTAATACGGACATTGTGAGGTTATCTAATGTATGCATTGTAAGCACTAAGCTAGAAAGTGTCCAGACAACCATTTTAGCTAGTACTAGTCGAGATGATAGTGCAGCAGATATATAATATGATCGGTATTGGCGTGCCCGAGCGCCGATATATGTCAGGGCCACAACACAGTGCTCGCAGCAACTGTCAATCACTTTAAGTCGAGCGCAAGACCCTGGCGGACAAGCAAAGAGTGAAGACTGGCATATCCCAAGGAGAGTCCCGCAGTCTCGGATATAGGGCTGTAGGTTGTCATCTGTTTCACTTTGCCGTGTCGGACCCTGTCCAGATTCGTTCTCCACAATGTCGTTTCATTTATTCCCAGACGATCAGTCTCGATAATGGTAGATTCTGGTTGCCTAAACGACGGTTAAGGCCCGCATTGTAGCACCTTGAAACATCAACTTCCCGCCGTGTCCACCTATACCTTTTTCTCGCTGCCAATCTACATCTTATATCTTGTTAATGAAATTTCCGAGACGGACTCCCCGCGGCAAATGGGGAAATGTCCGGCACGACTACCCCATACACCTCATCCGACGGGCCGGTATCTCACAGATCGAGTCTTCCGATTGCCATGTGCGCCGTACCGATGGGCCTCGGGATAAGCCATCTATCATGAAGTAGAGTTTATGGCATGTTAGAAGGATTACGTCTGGTATGGAGCTTGTGGAACATAGCAGAGGGCGCGTAAAGCCACCAGATCAATACCCTCGACTATATAAACCGATCATGTCCGGACATCTAATCGAATCCTCATACCAAAGAAATAATCGAAACTTGCAAGGTCAACTGCCAGCGAAATGAAGTTCACCACCATCATCGGCCTTTTCGGTCTCGCCCAGCTCGTCCTTTGTGATAAACGCGGTAGCTACACCGTCCCCGGCCTAGGAGAGCGCAAGCAAGCCCTCCTCAAGGCAGGCGGAAACACCATGGATATGGCGATTGCCATGCTAGAGAGGTAGCTTACCCCTCTGTCCCATCAGTCTCTCCATTGACTCACCCGACGGCAGTGACCACATGAAAGCCGACTACGTCTACGGCGACGGCAAGTCCGGCGACGCGACCAACTTTGGCATCTTCAAGCAGAACTGGATGATGCTGCGTACCTCCGCCCGGGATTTCCAGGGTCAGTCTGTTGAGCAGGTGTCCAATGGGGCTGTCTTGAAGTAGGTCGGTGTCTGTTATTGCCAGAGTAGAGCTAATCCGTACAGCCACAACCTGAAGAAAGATGTCAAGGCCCGCCATGACGGGGAGAAGCACTATGGCTTTGATACCTGGTTTGCAGGCCACCGCAATGGAGCTTCTGGACTGCAGAATCCGCACACGGATGATATAAATAGTATGTTTTCTTTTCTTGGGTCTGGGGGAGGTACGGCGCTAATTGGAGCAGCATATAAAAGTGCCGTTCAGTGGATCAAGCAGCAGATTGAGAGTGATCCCAAGTATCAGAAGGATGATACCAGGTTCTATGTTGATGTTATGGCAATCTAGGCCTGCTTTGGTCAATGGAATGGCAAGGATGGCTAACTGCGATTCGCATCGCCTCTTGTTATATCACAATTTAGATTACACTTCTTGGAGAGACTGACAAATGCACTTAACTATCTTTGAGCGTATGCCTATGCCTATTTCCGTGTATGTGCTCAGGAGGCAGATCTCATATATGTCATAGAATGCATGATTATCATTACTATCATATAAGAGTACATTACAAGTTGCTCGTCACGCCCGGCTCGATCCGCTCAAGGATCTCCCTCAACTCGCCCCAAACCTTCTCCTGCACCCGCTTCCCCTCCTCACTGCGCACGAAATCCGACAAAGCGCCATTATCCACCTTCCCATCCGTCATATACGCCCCATGGCTCTCCTCCCCAGCCGCCGCGCCCGCAACCAGCGTCCGACTCCCCACCTCCGTCGACCTCGCCATCACCATTTTCATCAGCACAAGCCGGATCCCCAGGTCGCGGGCCAGCTGCGAATGGCACAGCCCAGGATTAAGCATATTCACCACGATGCTGTCACCACGCATCCGCGCCGCTATCTCCCGCAGGATTAGCACCTGAAGCAGCTTCGAGGTCGCGTACCGCTCCCCCATGTTCGTGTGTTGCTCGTCGTCCAGCGCGGCAAAGGTATTCTCCGCGTTCCGCTCAGGGAACTTCGTCCACGCGTGCACCTCGCTGACGACCGTCGTCAGGCGCGGCTTCGTTCCGTACTTCTCTGCGCTTCTGCGGAGGATCGGGAGGACGAGGAGACCCAGCAGGATCGTGTTGATCACATTCACGGTGATGCTTCGCTCGTGGCCCTCTGCTAGCTGGAAGGCTTCTGTAGCGATGGACGCATTGCAGAGGAGGACATCGAGTCGTGGTAGGTGGGAGACTTTCTCTGCGAAGCTGATGACGGAGGCGTAGGACGCGAGGTCCAGGTCCCATACTTCGATGGCGGTTTGGGAGTCGGGATGGGACTCGCGGATTGAGGCTTTGGCGGCTTCACCGGCAGGGCGGTTGCGCACGGCTAGGATCACGGTTGCTGCATTGAGCCTGACAAAGTGCCGTGCTGCTTCCAGGCCCAGGCCGACGTTAGAGCCGGTGACGATGATCGTTTGGTCTTTAAAGGAGTGGGTGGGGTACTCCGGGGTTACGAATAATTGGGAGTAGAAGAAGCCCATTTTCAAAAATATCACTTGACAATGTAGGAATTCTGTGAATTGGATGTGATCAGATGGATCTCTGCTATTTAAATATTTATGGTTCAAGCACTCTCGGCCTGCGGAGTTAGTAGTAGGAGATCGGCCGGTTACGGGTGTAGCGTTAAGTCCGCGAGTGGAGTCAACCCTCCTATTACCGATGACGTTTTGACTTATCGCCTCGCCCTCAATCCGAGTGGAGTATTGAGTAGTTAAAAAAGATTATGTACATGTAATACGGTTGGCTAACTAGGAACTGCCCGAGCGTGGAAAAGTATGGAGGATTGCATTAACGCGAAAAATTGCCAATATATACCTGCACTTTTCATCGAGATAAGAGACATTCTGAGTGATTGATTTACAAAAATTACAGCACCTGGGTGCCTACAAGGCAGTGATCGAAATCCGCTTGGCCCCGGCATTCCCAGTCAGCAACGCCGAGCCACTGCTGCTGCGCAGATGGTTCGAATGCATCTGGTCCTCCTCCACATCCAGACTGAACCTCCTCGGACGCTGCCACATGCCGACGTCCTCACCTGCCGCCTGCAGACTCTCCGGCCTCACGCCAAACTTGGTAGCAACCTGCTGCGCTAGCTCGTCGTAGGCGCCTGTATCCACAGCCTGGCCACTCTCCTTGCTGAGCCGCGCCTGCGCATTCTTGAGAAGCTGCAGATGCTGGCTGACGGTTTCCGCCGCATGCGCCTCGTCCACGTCCGGGTCGTTCAGGAGCTCGTGGAGCGCTGACTCGTGCAGCGCCACTGCCGCGAGGTGGTTGCCTGATGCCGTGTACAGGCCCGAGAGCAGCTTGGTCATCTCCAGCGTGACGGGGTCGAAGTTGCCCCAGACTTGCCGCAAGTTGTAGCAGATGTCTTTGCCCAGCTGGGTTGCGGCCGTGGTGTGCCCGCGGCAGAAGCGGGTTTCCACCAGCCGACGGCCGATCCAGACGACCATGTTGGAAGACCAGGTCTTCTGGACGATGCGCGAGGTCCATAGGTCGGTGAGGATGGCCTGGACAGCATTAGCGTATATACATAGTGGGGTAGGGGAAGGGATTACCTCTAGATCGTCAAACATCTCGTGTTCGCCCAATACTGTAACTAGATCGTTCAGTTCGGCGAATGGGAGTTCAGAAAACTCAATCTTTAGATGGCGAGCTCTGGCCATGATTTCTTGAAGGAGCATCTGTGACTCAAATGCCATGTTCTTGGCAGTGACACTGTCCGAGCACTTGCTTGTATGGTAACCGTTGAGATACAGGCAGAGCTTGATGGCTGTAAAGATTGCCTCGTGGTTGTTCAGACCGTCGGTCAGGTGCACAAACGAGTGAAACACGCCTGTCAAATCTGCGGCATCCTGGAAGCGTGAGGCGTTGCACAAGTCGCGGACCATGTGGGTAGTCTCCGTGATAATGTTGATATTATAGGCCGGATTAACAACCTCGCGACGACATAGGTTGTAGAACTGGTGCACCACGTCCTTGGAGCGCAACGGGGGAGAAACAGACAGCGAGTTGCAAAAGTATTCGTACAAGCTGCCCTGCGTCTTGGTGGCTGCTGTCGTGCGTCTCTGCTCGGTCTGCAGAACGTGAAGCTTCTGGCCGGTAACGAGAGTGGTGACGAGGTCGTGCCGGGTAAGGCTCGTCTGGTACTCACTGTACACGCCGCTTTCTTGAGACAAGGAGTCGAGAATCTGGCTGTAAGTCCTCTTCTTGCCAAACTCCTCCTCGAACGCGGCAACAAACACCGCAGGGCGGTGCTCGTTCAGGGCCAATCGTTGTGCGGCGGGGGTTTCATGAATGACCTTCTTATGAAGCTCGTCGATCAAGTCGTAGCCCGCATCCTTGTACCCGCATTCCAGATAGATCTCCGCAAGACGGTGAGCGCGCTCAACCAGCGCTTCGCGACTAGCAGTGACGCGGATGACCTCGTTGACATGGTCCCGTAGAATGCTAGCACCCTGTTTGTGCGACTCGATCGTATCCTTCATAGCATAGACCAGAGCCACTTCACGCAGCCACAAAAGTGTCGGGGAGGAGGATAGACCGCGCTGCTGCTTGGACAAGGTAAGCTCCTCCATGTACAAAGCACGAGCCTCGTCGGAGGTGCTCTTCTTGCGAAGATAGATCTGAGCGACCTTGTGCTTGATATTCATCGCCGTCGAATCCGTCATATCAGGCAAAGGCCGGGAGGCCTGCGATTGAGGCACCCACTCCTTCGTCCTGAGGATATGCCGGTAAAGGGCAAGCGCCTCTTCCAGATGGCTATCGGTTTTCTCGCAGATCTCCGCGAGACGAAGGGTAGCATCCCGAGTTGTTGGGCTCGATTGCCCATGAATCTTCTTACAAAGCTGGAGGTACTGAGACGCCACGGTGTAGCGTTCCGCGTGGCCTTCCACCGCAGTGCTGGCGGTTAAGGTTGCCATGTATCCCTTGTACGTCTTGTCTAGCAGACCCTCCAGAAGCGCACGGTCATAGCCATCCTTTTCGTCGAAACGCACAAGAGTCGGCCAGAGATGACGGTAAACCTGTAGAGCGCATTCGCGGTCCTGTTTCTGTTCATAGATACCGATGAGAGCGATAGCTGCCCGAACACCGGTCGAGTTGACCTTACCCTCCTGGGTGCTGACCTGGTAGACGTGGCGATACGCAGCCTCAGCCTCGTCCTGTCGGTCCAGGCGAATGGCCAAGTCACCCTCGCAGTACAGGCTGTCGATCGTATGCTTGTCGGAATCGCCCAGGCGAGAGATGAAGAACTGGCTGACCTGATGCAGGAGGATCAGCGCCTTGGAGAACTGGAACGTGGTTTCATAAAATTCAATCACAGTCTTGACAACAGCGGTGAGATGCGGCACGGGCACTTTCTCCGCGGTAATGGATGCCTTGAACGCGTTTCCGTAGACCTTCGTCGCGTTGGCGACATCAAGGCGACGGAAAAGACAGTACGCATAGTCCAGGACGATATTCGCGATCAACGGGGCGCGGTCAGAGCGGAACTTGGCGTCGGAATTAGGATCATGGACATCCGGCCATACGTGCTTCAGGACTGACCAGGCACAGTCACTGCCTTGTTTCCACTGTCCCTCGCGGATATGCAGAGTGCAGAGGTTGTGACACAAGGTCAAAACAGACGTCGAGTGGCGACCGCTGCCCGACGACGCAATGCTGCCCATAAGGCTGTGGATGTAGAGGCGCTCCTCTTGAGATAAGGCCGCGAGACTTTCAACCGTCGTATGGGCGGCCATCAGCTCGTCGGCGAGCTCCTCGGCCAGAGCGACGGCCTCGGGCGAGTACTGGTCTCCGCTTGCAAGGTAGTAGTTCCAAATGAGCATGGAGAGGGTCCGCTCCATTCCGATGAGGCCCTGCTCGCGCGCCTCCGCTCGAAGGCTTGTGGCGCGATCTGCCATTGCCTGCGAGTGGATGCCGCCTGATTCTAGATCTGAGGACAGCTCGCCAAGGACCATCTTGGCCTCCTCGTGGCGGCCGTGACGATGCAGGAATTGGTAGTACACAAAGGCGACCTTTGTCTTTTTCTCCCATGTCCATTCGGAATCAATGTCGTGCGAGCAAATCGCGACCCAGAGGTTTCGCAAGATCGACTCTGCCTCCTTGGTCTTATGCTTTTCCTCATACAGCTGAGCGAGGTAGAACGAGTAGGAGATGCGACGGTGGTCTGTGACGTCCATCGAACGCACCATATTGTCGTATTTAAGCCGCGCAATCTCCAGCGCGAGTTCGTCGGAGGAAGCGATCTGGAAGTGCTGGGTGAGGAAATCCGCCGCTTGCATACTCTCCGCTGAATGACTACCATACTTGTCCAGTGTTTGTCGGTAGAACTGCCTTGAAACGCTGTACGCCTCCTCATTCTGGTTGCTGCTTTGGTAGGTGGTGACCAAGGTGGTGAGATACTCCACGCGGCGGGTAAAGGTGATCTCTGTCGACTCCCAGTGGGACAAGGTCATCTCGCGAAGGGCCTCGGTGCGCAGGCCCGCGGTCTTGTCGCCACGGCCTCCCTGCTGAGGAGCGGTCAGCATCAGCTGTTCCATCTCCATGGAGATTGGAGAGGAGGCCCCCAGCTGCGACCGACTGAGCGTCCATGCTTCATACAGATGATCGTTAGCCCAGCTGGCCTTGGCCAAGTCGGCTGCACGAGCGCTGAGAATAAGACTCTGCAAGAATGCCGGAGACTTCTCGCCCAGCGCCACACGACGCACCGCGACCGATAGCCGGTAGAGCTCCAGGATGCTGGATCGACTAAACTGCGACTCCCGACTGGTCAGTTCCAGCTGCGCAAAGAGGACCGAACTGGGCAAGGAGGTCTTGAAGACCGGCGTAAAGGCAAATTCACGGTCGGAGGTGATCATCGGGGACGAAAGCAGATGCGAGAACCAGTAGCGCGAAGTGTATTCCAGGAGGATATACGAGTCGAAGAGAACGTCGCGCTGCTGCCCTGGCAATTTGTCCATGGAGATTGCCACCTCTTCCTTGACACAGAGGCTGGTCCAGGCCAAGGATCGCGTGAGGAGATCGTTGTGTGCCTCCTCGAGGTTGAACGGGAATCCCTGATTGTCTGAGTAGCCGCTGTCAGCGGACATGGCGCGTTGCCGCAGGTTCTCACGGATCATAGAATGGCGGAAGGCCACGAATCCATCGCGAACCATAACCAAGCGGCCCAGGGGCTTGAATATGTTGCGTTCGGCGCCGGCTGGACGCGGCGTTCGCTTGAGACTCTCCGCGTCCACCGAGAGCAGCTCTTCTACTTCCTTGATGCGCAGAGGACGCTCGGAGGCCACCAGCCAGGCAAGGAGACAGCGGATGTCAGGCCGGGTGATGTCAGTGGTATTCAGATGGTTGCCAATAAGCTCGTTAACATCGCCTGGTGCTTGCTGGATTGCACTCATCATCCCCTTGAAGGTCGACTCCTGTTTCATAGATTCGAGAGTGAGCTGCGCCCAAACGAAGCATCCTTGAGCGCGGTCCACGATGCGTTGGGCCATCGTGTCTATCTGATCCTCCGCCAGTCCATAGAATTGGCCGTCTGACTCGATGGCGTCGGTAACAGCCGCGAGCAAGTCGGTATTAGTCAATGCGGGAGTCAGCGAGAGTTGTTGAGTGCTTTTCCCAAGCTGCTGCTGCGCTGGAAGTTCTCTGGAAAAGATGATAAGCTTCGACGATGTGCCGGAGATACAACCTTGTAGGCGCGCAAGGAATCCAGCCATGGTGGTTTTGGCATTCTTGATCTGATCGAGGCCGTCCAGGACAATTATGAAGTGCATGTGGGACTGCATTGCCGTTCTCACAGCCGACCAGAGCACATCTTCCACCTGAGTGTCTGTAGCCCCAGTGGAGGCCATCTGCGCAGCGTCTCGAACCGACGTTAGAATACGCTCTTGGGTCTTCCATGAGCTGACACATCGGTCCAGCATTTGATGGAGAATGCCCTTGAGGATGGTAAGGGTCAAAGTCGTGATAGGCACATCCTCCCGTACCCAGCAGGGAATGACGTCCCAGATGTCGTTCTCGGATGAGACTTGCAGGCGCTCAACCGTCCATTGCGCCAGTGCACTTTTTCCTGCCCCTGGACTGCCTGTTATCACCATCATCTCACGGTTGCCGAGGGTAAAAGTCGTGAGATGCGGGTCAAACCACCCAAAAGAGCCTTCCGCCAGGGAGTGATTGTGTCCTTCGAGAACCATCTGGAGTGGACGATCCTGCAGATCGAGGAACTGATAGATAGCAGCAACATCCGTGGTCGTCCTCTTGGATAAGGCGAGCTCTGACAGTTTTCGCCAATTGGTGTTGAAACTGTTGTGAAACTGGAAAAAAGCGGCATCGACATTTTCGCCCATGATCAGCCAGTCCGAAGACCGTGACGCGTCAGAGTACTCCATGGTAACATGTAGCACAAGCTGCAGCAAACTGGCGTACGTCTTGGCCACCTCGTTCTGCAAAGAAGTGGATTCTTTAAAGAAGCTCTCCTGCTGTAGCAAGAGAGAAATCTGAAGAGTAACACGCCCATACCGACCGAAAATGCTGTCCAGGATGTCCACATGCTCGATTCCCTTCTGCAATCATTAGCTATTAGTCCGAAAGCCCTGGATGTGTCTCACCTCTAGGAGCAGTAGAAGGCCACCCCAAACCAATTTAGTGGCTTCCTCCGCGCCGTCCATGAAAGAAACAACAGCATCGCGTAACGAGGCCACGGCAAAGGCCAGGCTGGATGCGCGTCGAAGAGCGCCGTCGAGTCGGCTTCCGTCCGCCGGCATGTGTCTCAGGCGCTCCGCAGCGATCGCGTCAAAGAAAGCATCGATAGTCGGCACTTTGGCTTGGATAGCACTGGCAGGCATGCCCAGGCGCGGTTCGCACTCCCGGGAAACGGTTTGAACCATTTCCCGGAGCACGGAGAGCTCACCAGGGTTTCCTTGAGCATTGTGCGCTCTGGCTCGTAATGGAGCCATATTAGGAATGTGGTTTCAGACAAAACGTATAATACAATAGTGCTGGAAAGAATAGTTTCATATCAGATATGCAGGTGTTGCTGTAAGGCGAGACAACCAGCCAGGCTAATGATATATCGCTACATGAAAGAGACCAGGGCTCTTGCAATCCTGACATCATGGCGGTTCGGAACGCAAGCAAGCAAGCTTGAGAGTGATACTGAGATAATAGTATTGCCCTATCCGGTGTCATGCCATCATATCAATAGACGACCCTTGGATGCGTGAAAGGTCGACCTTGGCTCCGGTGAAGTCAATCGCGGACAACCTGGATGCTCTATGGTCTGCTGTTAATTACACCATCGGCAATTGGCAAATGTGTAAGCGCGATAATATGCAGTACTCTTCAGACCTTTGGACTATATTTCTTTCATCTAGAGCTGAAAATAGTTATATATCGGATGAACGCTGTGCAACTCTTTTGGCAAGATAACTGCGCCGAGATGAGGTTTCTTCGTCGATGTAAATAAACTCAGCCCCACACAAGGAGAGTCGAGGTGTCATCCCCGCCCATCAGGTTGGGACAAGGTTATCCATCCATCCATCTCCGTGTGATCCGAGTCGTCATCGATTAAGAAAATTGTACTTGTCTTGTCTTGTGGTGAATCTTTCATGTCGTACCCAGTGACATCAATTTGACTGGACACCCAGTTGCCAGTCTGGATTGATCTTCTCCAACAATGAGTGCAACCCTCCAAGCCAAACAACCACTTGAATAGAAAAGGCATGCTAGGAAACATTTCAGGTTTTAGACAATAAAGATGGACCCGTGACCGATGAAAGACAGCCATCTGAAGTTGAGACCCGTCAGAACTTGAGTGTGAGCCAGAAATAATTTCACCTTTCAACAGAACTACGCAGAGCAGGCTGTGGATTACGTAGTTTGGTACCTACATCTCTTCTCGTGAGAACGAACAATTGGTATGAGTAGGTCTGTATTGGGCAGGAAACTGCTGTATGAACGAGGTGAAGTTGCTAAAGTGTGGCCGGATACCTGTCTTAATCTACAACAGCTGGTAAGAACGTGGGAAATGGACCAAATAAGGCCAAGCTGTCTCACTCCAAACACTACTACGATGATGGAGTCAAGCGGGTGCTAAGCGTCCTGTATGAAATGCTGTATAAGACATTGGTACTCCACCTTGGACAGGCAAGATCACAACGGCAGTTGTACGAAGCAAGCCCAAGATCGAGAATCACCTTGGTGGGAGCTAGAAGAGTTCCCAAAGAGCAGTCGTGCCGCTCATGCGTAATCACCGGCTTGGCTGCACCTGAGGAATGCACTAACAATGCGAAAAGATTCAATATCCTAGAACATTGCACCTGCAGTGATCTCCGGCTTGAAGATCCAACCAGCTAGGGATTTTAAACTGGGAATGTAGCATTTGCATCACTCTGAGTATACTCATCAGGTCTCTATGTATGTAGTGTGGGTATCTTTGTGAAGTGGAACGGATATCTTAAGGTCTGAAACTGAGCGTTGGTGGGTGACTGCCTTCAATCATTTAACGATATTCATTTGTGCTTGCCATCAGGGAGCCACTTACGTGACACCTTCATCATTTCTCCAAAGTAGTGGCATCTGACCTCCTCGATCGTTGGTGTTTGTGATGCCTGTATAACGCCGCCTAAGCTTGCCGTGGCCACGCTAGAAACTCATGCTTCTGAAGCAGAGAATGAAAATTTCAACGTTCCTGGAACTAACATTTCTCGTTAAAGTCACATTATACTGTCCTTAGATAGGCTTCGTGGCTGGGCTAAGCTTCTCACTCGCTCCTGATGGTGTCGAAGTTTGACGTGATATCACTACAGCATTCTTTTCGACAGAATCATCGAGAGAACTCATGCATCTTTCGAATACTTTCAAGTTTCATCAAGATGACTGACACTGATGGTACATGTGAACATCTCAGACTGAGTGGATGCGCTCTCATGATAATATAATTCGGGATTTGTAAAGCGTGGATATTCCAAACATCCCTTGCCCGGTCCACATTCCTCACTAGACTTGAAGGTGGAATCCCGTCCACTTGTTTATTTTTGAATACTTTGACGTCATATATTGCCGGCACGGAACAATCAGTTTGCAGTATGGCTTGCCTCCATCAGTGCACGGGATTCGCGGCTTACAGTAGTGGGCCGAAGGTCATCAACATACGCGGCAAGAATCTCGGTGGATGCTTCGAGGATTCTGTCTTAACAGTAAGGTTCTCGCCATCTTGAAAAGGCACAATATGTGGCAATGATTCTATACAGTCTGTCTCCCATCGTCATAGAAGAGTACTTACATGGACAGTAACAGAAGATCTACGGTCCAATCAAGGCATGGTCTCAAAGTCGAGAAATACAGATTCATTGTATTATCAGACATTTCCTTGCACTCAGATCGTCCATCGATTGCGAATCCATTCCTCGGACCAAGTAGATCTCCAAAAACCATCATGGCACTGTTTCACGTAGATCTCATCGACTATATATATCGAGCATACGCCTGGACTATACTGAGCGTACGTTCGAAGGGTGGACTTCTTGACAGGTTTGTACGTCGGTGTAAGAAGTTGCTGGCTAAGCATATGAAACAATGGCGTTTCCTTGCACAATAAAACCAGCCGATTCATTTGAATGCGAGCATGTGGAGATACTAGAGCCAGAGAAGAGAAACCTTCGGCGAGTCTGCGATGACATTTCACTGGACATTTTCCTCGTGGCTGTAGTGGAGTTGGCTGAGCGTTTTACATATCGTTCCATTACGGCACCGATGCGTGAGTTCCATCAGTTGAGCTCTCACTGAGAATATTACTGATAGGCATAGAAAATTACATACAGCATGGTCGTGATGATGTACTTCACCACGGTGCCCTGGGATTGGTACCCATGATAGCCTCCCCCCCCTCTCTGCAAATATGCTGACAGAAGCAGGGTCAAAAAGTGGCAACGGGGATTAGCTACTTTTTTGTGGGATGGTGCTACCTGACGCCGATATTCGGGGCTGTTGTCGCAGACAGCTACCTGGGTCGATTCAAGACCATTTTCATAGGGACAGGGTGCGTTCCCTTGTACTTCGCTTCTCGCATACAACTGAACACGCATAGGCTCTCCGTGTGCGGCGTCCTGGTTTTGCTCGTCACATCGCTACCTCCAAGTCTCGAGTGTGGAGGGGGTTTACCAGGGTTAATGCTTGCATTGATACTGATTGGGCTGGGGTATGTCTTTGCAATGAAACTTGAGATGTACCACGTATGCTAATGGATCAGATGCGGCGGTATCAAAAGCAATGTCGGCCCCTTGATTGCTGAACAGTACTCGATGCGCACAGAACGAGTAAAGACACTGCCGAGTGGAGAGAAAGTCATTGTCGATTCCAACGTAACAGTTCAGACGGTCTATGCGCGATACTACTGGTGAGTCTCAAATATCGTAAAGGCCTGATAGATACTGATATACTCCAAGGATCATAAATATTGGAGCTCTCTCCGTCATTCCCGCTTCGGTTCGTGCATCTCTCGCTCCATAAGGTTATTGCTAATGATTGTAGTGGTTGGAGCTCAAGGTGGACTTCTGGGCAGCGTTTATGATGCCGCTCTGTCTGTGGCTATTGGCCATCGTCGCTCTAGTAGCTGGCCGTAAGAAATATGGTAGGTGAAGGTGCCTTTTCCCCTGCAAGAAATGGCTAAATCATGGTAGTGGTTCAGCAACCGCATGGCTCGGCCGTTACCAAAGCCGCTCGGGTCTTGTGGATTAGCCTGAAGAACAATGGCAACATGGACGCAGCAAGGCCGTTTGCAATGCAGGCCACTGGTGCAGTTGTATGCTGGGACGATACGTTTGTGGATGAGTTGAAACGAGCACTTGTCGCCTGCCGTGTGTTGTAAGTGCTGTCGAGGCTTAACTAGTCTAGCTCTGCTAACGTTATGCCAGTCTCCTATAGTATGTTCAGACTATCCTCGGCCCATATGGAGGATGCTAACTTTGTAGCCCCATTTTCTGGTTATGCAATGGCCAAGCCAACAACAACCTCGTCAGTCAGGGGTCGTCTCTCAAGACCTACGGGATGCCGCATGATATGAGTACGTGCTCCTCCCAGCTTGTTATTCGAGCGATTTCTAACCTTTATAGTGGGACTATTCAATCCCCTCACTATTCTGATCGCCGTGCCTGTATTGTATGTTACTCTGCTTCATTCGACATCATGCAATACTGACAAACTAGTGAACGTCTCGTCAACCCTGCCCTCCGACGATTCCAAATCCCTTTCAAACCCATAAGTCGTATGACTACCGGCTTCGTCGCCATAGCATTTGCCATCGCTGTCGCTGCTATCATCCAACAATGTACGTATCTCCTGAAGCCCTTGAAGGACTTTCTACTAATTTCAGAATGCAGTAATATATCAATCACCGCCATCTCACGTCAGCATCCTCCTACAGATCCCAGTCTACTCACTCATTGGCCTCTCCGAGTTCTTTGCCAGTCTATCAGGGATGGAATATGCGTACACCAAAGCCCCAAGGTCAATGCGGAGCATCGTCTCGGCTCTCTTTCTTCTGACCTGCACGATCGGGTCAACGGTTGGAATTACCCTGTCGCCTGTATCGGTAGATCCGAAAGTGCTGGTGGAGTATGCGTCTCTCAGCATAGCCATGTTTGCCACAGCTATCGTGTTCTATTTTTGCTTCCGCAAATACAACCAGACGGAGGAAAGCATGAATATGATCGGAGGAACCAGCAAGGAGGAATCGAGGAAATCATCAGTGGAGGATATCCATGATTTGTGTGAGCTGGAAAAACAGTGATGTCAGTATATGGCTGACGTGTCTTATTCTTTATGTTTTCTGCGATATGATGACCATAGATTGAGATCAGGAGATCCGTAGCTGCGGCTTTAATACGCGAGAATGGATGGATATAGCAGCTATCACAGTCAGCCTAGACCCGTCCATGCCGTCACATGAGTGACGATA